AAGCCTTTGTCCCAAGTCAAGTCCTTCCCTCATCCCATCCATCCCTCACCCGGCTCCTTTTCAAAACGTTCCCAGATGGCTCCTCCTCTTCTGGGCTTCACACAGGTAAACTTTCTGTTATTTTTTTTTATAAAGGTAACGTTTTTGTTCATATGTTGTTTTTGCTTTTTCACACTTTATGGTTTTCTGAAGATGGTGAGGATACTAAAATGGAAGGTCCTCAGTCATCAAAACAAAATCTCAAACAAGTAGATACAAAGGACAAGAAAGAAGGTAAAAAACTGAGAGATCAAGAAAGTTCAGATGCAAGCAATCAGGAGGAAGGAGAATTAGAAGAGGAGGAGGAAGATGAAGAAGAAGATGGAGAAGATGATGATGAGGAAGAGGAGGAAGAAGAAGAGGAAGAAGAACTTAGTCAGGAAGAAAAGGACAATGAAGACTTAGAAGAGGAAGAAGAAAGTCAGGGTGATGGCACAGATGGTAAGGAAGAGGAATGTTTTAAGAAGTCACAGGATAAGGGAAAAATTGTTCAAGAATTGGAGACCATTAGCAATACCATTAATTGTGAAACAGAAGATAAAGATGGATGTGGAATTGTGCCTGAAGGTAATCAGAAAACATGTGAAGACATAGATCAGAACATTCAGGAATCCATTGATATTCCCATGTCTTTTATAGATGGGTTTTATGAAGGTTTAAATGAAGATGTAACTACGGTATCATCCAAGCTGATAAATAGTGGACAGCCTCAGCAAGAAGGTGATAATGAACACGAAGAAACTGAATATCAAAATCCAAAGAAACTGCAAGATACTGAGGGAATTCAGAAAATAAGGTGTGCGACTGAGGGAGGGCTTCACAGAAAACCCAGTTACTCTTCTGAATACTCTGAAATGACAGCTGGGGAAAAAACTGCATCTCCATCTGTCTTAAATAGCTGTGACATTAAGGGTAAAACCTCAAATGTACAAGGTGATATCTCTGAAAGTGATGATGATCCTTGGTCAGAGACAGGAAATGAAGGGTATGAAAGCAGAAGTCATAATGCTGTAAGCGCTAAACCTTTGGAGCCAAGTGTTGGAAAGGAACAATATGAGGATCCTGAGGAACTGGATAATACAGCATGCAGCTTATTAATACAAGAAAGTGAGAATTTGCCTTTACATGATCAGGAAGAAATTATGAAAGAAACATTTCAAACAAGCACCAAAGTAAGTAAAAATGATCAATTCAAATTGTACACAGGTAATGCAGCAATAAAGAAAAAAGATAATGACTGTCAAGTGAAAAATGTTAACAGAACAATGATATAATGATTCATGGAATTTAAATCTGATCTAATCTTCAGTAGAGAATAAAATATGACTGATCATAATATTCTAATAAGTATGAGTATTTATGCATTAGTTAGGATGGTAAAGAGCAATACTTTTTAAATGAGATTTTGATGCAATAGGGGAGAAAAAAAGCAAAATGTTAGATTTCTTATTTCTAGAGTCAGTGTCATCTTTGGTCAAAAGATGGGTTCACAGTATATTTTTTGTGAAGAGAGGCTGTAATCTTAATAAAATCTAAACGTCATGTGGCAAATGTGTTTGTGGAGGGATTTTTGCCACAGAGTAGTTTTCAACCAAGGCAATTCTTTGTGGGTTAGGTTTTTTTTGTTCTTACCAGGATTAGTGAAAGCTAAACCTAAGTGATTTGGTATCAAGTAAAACAACTAAATCACCCTGATTTAGCTTTCACTACAATTGGGTAATTGTGGTCAAAGAACAAATGCTATGCATCTGGCATTTTTTGGCAAGTCCCTGCCCTCCCAATAATGTCACTTTAATTTGATTGCTTGTCCATGCTTTAACTAAACTAACATGCCTCTCCAGCAACTCTGGCTGCGTCTGTGATGCTCAAGCTCAGACAGCTAACTACATCATCTATGAATGCCTTCATGGCGCTCCTTTGAGCATCCAAGGTTCTTATTGCCATTGACTGTTCTACCTGTTGCTGGCTTTTTTGCCATCATGCCTGTGGCATATGAGTGTGGCGACACTTGCTTTATCATCATCAGCAAAACTTATAAACTGAGTTATTTTTTTTAACGAAAAAGGGAATAAAACAAAATTCATTAGAGTCAGAAAATTAATTGCACTATCTGAGAAATGGTGTCCAGTTTTCGGCCCCCAACTACAGAAAGGATGTAGACAAAATGGAGAGAGTCTAGCAGAGGGCAACAAAAATGGTAGGGGGCTGGGACGTGTGACACATGGAGAGGCTGAGAGACCTAGGCTTACTGAGTTTGAAGAAGAGAAGGGAGAGGGGGGATTTAATTGTAGCCTTCAACTACCTGAAGGGGTGGGGGGTCCAAAAAGAATGGAGCTAGATTGTTCTCAGTAGTGGCAGATGACAGAAAAAGAAACATTGGTCTCAAGTTTCAGCAAAGGAAGTTTTTCCTGGATATTAGGAACCACTTTCTCACTAGGAGGGTAGTAGACCGCTGGAATAGGTTACCCAGAGAGGTTGTGGAATCTCCATCCTTGGAGGTTTTTAAGAGCCTGCTAGACAAATCCCTGGCTGGAATGATGTGGTTGGGGCTGGTCGTGCTTTGAGCAGGGGTTGGACTAGCTGACGTCCTGAGGTCCCTTCCAACCCTAATTTCTTATGATTCTATGGTGACCAAAGCATTCTTGGTTGAAGAGGTTCAGTTAAGGAAAGAGCTTTCAGAGGAAATGGACTGTATCTAGATTCTCAATTTTCTTTAGAAAATGCTGCAACATCTTTTTCACTGGAGCAAGAATGATACAACATTGATGCTCCCATCTAGTCAAATGTATCCCATCAAAAAAACCACCCCTTTCCCCCCCCAAAATACTTAAATTAAAAAAAAAAAGCAGCCATTTGACCTAAAAAAGAATTTATATGCCAATACCCTAAACAGAGTACTTCTCCAAAAGAGAGTTGAGCTCATTGTTCCATACAATCCAGTAGATACTTAGTATTGGTATTTATTCTGGCAGGCTCTTGGGGATGGTAATACAAAGTAGTTGCAATATAAAATCATTTTTGTAGTATTTATGGCCAGATATTTTGCATTTAATCTCTTCATTAGGAAGAATCATCAGAGGAAGAGGAGGAGGAAGAGCAACTAGAAACTTCAAATGTGGATAAAACTTCGATTAATGTTAACCCTGAAGTACGGAATCCCTCAGAAAATGTGTCTGTTAGGAAAAGTAAGTTAGTTAATACTAACCCAAATGTTTTTTCTTGGTTTAACTAGTATGAGAGTCCTGATAGCTGAAAACTGATAATCTGCCTTCAGTACTGTGGACCATGTGAACATTTTGACTTATCTGCAAATCCTGGCAAGAAATGACCGAGCAGTTGTGAACTCTAACAAAGCAGTAGCTTTGTTCTTTTCTTAAGGTGCCAAATGACAGTACTGTTTAATTGTACTGTTCTAAACGTTGCATTCTAGGTTTCACCATCACTTTTTGGCATTTTTAGGAGGGCTAATTGTAGCAAGAAGATATGGTATACTTAGGCCATATATGTATACTACCAGTTACTGAATCTACCTTGGTGAATCGGTGTTCAGTGGTGAAAGAACAGGTTAGGGATTATTTTAAAAAATGGATGTGTATAAGTCCATGGGGCAGAATGTAATACATCTGAGGGTGCTGAGGGAGTTGGCTGATGTGATTGTAAAGCTGCTGGGCATGATTTTTGAAAACTCATGGTGACTGGGGATGGTCCTAGACAATTGAAAAGGGCAAATATAGTGCCTATCTTTAAGAAAGGGAAGAAGGAGAATCTAAGGAACTATAGATCAGCCAGGTTCACCTCAGTCCCTGGAAAAATCATGGAGCAGGTTTTCAAGAAATGCATTTCTTAGCACTTGGAGGAGCAGAAAGTGATCAGGAACAGTCAGCATGGATTCACCAAGGGCAAGTCATGTCTGATTGCCTTCTATTATGAGATGACTGGCTTTGTGGATATGGAAAAAGAAATGAATGTGATATACCTTGACTCTAGCAAGGCTTTTGATACCATTTCCCACAGTGTTCTTGCAAGCAAGAAAGTAAGTATGGGTTGAGTGAATGAACTATCATGTGGATAGGATCTGGCTGGATCATCTGGCTCAGAGAGTAGTAGTCAGTGGCTCACTGTCTAGTTGACAGCTAGTATCAAGTGGAATGCCTCAGGGGTCAGTCCTGTGGTGGGTGTTGTTCAATATTTTCATCAGTGACCTGAAAGATGGGATGGAGTACACCCTTTGCAAGTTTGCAGATGACACCAAGATGGGGGGAGTAGTTGACAGGCTGGAGAGTACGGCTAGAATTCAGAGAGATCTCAGCAAATTGAAGGATTTGACCAAAAGAAATAGCATGGGGTTCAACAAGAACTAGTGCAAAGTCCTGAACTTAGGATGGAAGAATCCCATGCACTGCTACAGGCTTGGGACCAACTGGCTTAGCAGCAGCTCTGCAGAAAAGGACTTGGGTGTTACAACGGACAATAAGCTGGATATGAGTCAACAGTGTGCCCTTGTCGCCAAGAAGGGTAATAGTCTACTGGACTCCATTGGTAGGAGAGTTGCCAGCAGATTGAAGGAAGTAATTATTTCCCTCAATTTTGCACTGGTGAGGCCACATCTGGAGTACTGTGTCCAGTTTTGCGCCCCCCCCTCCCCCAACTACAGAAAGGATGTGGACAAGTTGGGGAGTCTAGCAGAGGGCAATGAAAATGGTGAGGGGGCTGTGGCACATGACTTCTGAGGAAAGGCTGGGGGAACTGTGCTTATTTAGTCTGGAGAAGAGAAGACTGAGGAGGAATTTCGTAGTAGTGTTTAGCTACCTGAAGGGTGGATCCAAAGAAGATGGAGCTAGACTGTTCTCAGTGGTGGAAGGTGACAGAACAAGGCGCAATTGTCTCAAGTTGCAGCAAGGGAAGTTTAGATTGGATATTAGGACAAATTTTCTCACTAGGAGGGTAGTGAAGCATTGGGACAGGTTATCTAGAGTGGTTGTAGGATCTCCATCCTTGGAGGTTGTTAAGGCCCAGGTTGACAAAGTCCTGGCTGGAATAATCTAGTTGGTGCTGGCCCTGGTTTGAGCAGGAGGTGAACTAGATGACTTCCTGAGGCCCCTTCTAGCCCTAATTTTCTATTAGTCTATAATACAAAAGAGGCTTTTGAAAGTCTTTTCCAATGTCTAGCAGAGATTGAGGGATGACTAAGAGCAGGATGACTTTGACTCAGTCCCAGTTCTCAGAATTTTTTTTTTTAAGTAGCAGCATTACCTGGAAGTGGTGTTTTTTCTTCTCCTTGACAAATAGGATTCAAACCTTTCCTTCTGATAAGACCTAGTTACTATCATACATTCTTTTATCACATTTGAAATTTGAGTGCTACAGTTTTTGGTTTAAAGTTCCTAGGTCCCTAAATTTCAGCTTTTGACATGCCAAGAATGTACCCAGTGAGGTTACATCTTAACGAGTTTGGCTAGTACAGAGTACTTAAGCAGTAGAGTACTTCCTTAATGGGCATATGTTACACCAGTCATTTATTCATTCTCTTAAGTCTTAACTATAATCTTTTTACAGTTTTAAGTTCCTTCAAGCTAACTGATAGAGGTAGAATATTGACTTCTGATTATTTCAGTTTTTCACATGTATCAGTTTAGCTGGCCATATCCAAAAAAGGGACCTAGGCATTTATATTTGATCTACGCTGTACTTTAGATGCTGGTGTCCAGCACCACAGTGTTGAAATCTGTCACTTAGCTACTATCTAATGCTCAACGCCCTACATCAGGGTTGGCAACCTATGGCCTGTGGGCCAGTTTTGGCCTCTGAAGAGGCTAGATCCAGCCTGTGGCAGCTCAGAGAATCAGCAGCACCCAGTCACTGTAGCAGAGTAGGCATCCACAGGGTCCTAGCACCTGCCGATTCAGTTTATTTGGTCTTGCCACATTGAAGGCATCCCCAGGGTGCTGGCACCCACCCTTTTCTACCTATTTGCTTTGCAGCCTCTGCTGATTGCCAGGGGATATGGGTCTGCAGCTGTGGGGGAAGGCTTGGTTGTAAATAGTACCCCACAGTGGCAAAAAGGCTGATGACCCTTGACCTCAGAACCTCATTTTTCAGCGTGAAAGTTCCTTGGGTACCTAAAAATATGTTTCTGTGCATGTCCAGAAACATCTCAGGCTGAGCACATCATTGTTGCAGATCAATTGAGATCCAGAAACTAGGGGTGCAGACAGAAATAACTTTTGGAATATTTCCAAGCATAGTGGGTTTAGGAGCATTTAAAAAAGGTAGACAAGGTTCTTTGGGTGAAGTTGATATCTTGTATTAGACCAACTTAAACAGTTGGAAAGAGGTTTTGCAAGCTTTCAGGTTTAAAAACCCTTGGTCAGGCTGAGGAGGTCTCTGCAGTTGGTGTGTGCTCTTCCTGGATGCAATTTCAAAAAGGAATCGTTTCAGCCAGAGGACATACATTGTACTATTGAGGGATGTAAGCCTCTGAAAAGCGTGGGATTTGAAATACATCTTATACTTGTGTTTCTTATTGGCTACTTCTAGGCGTCTCCCTGTTTAACCTGTTAGTTGTTTTGGATCCTATTCTAAGGTATATTCTCTAGGAAACCTAGGTACCTAAGCAAGAGTTCTAGACTTCATGGACCAGGCACTAAAACGTTAATTATCACTATACTCAGCAGTGTATATACTCTTTTGGCTCTGTCCGTTAGCTGTCCTTCAGCTTTCTTTTGTTTGTATTCAGCAGGTATAGAGCTTCTTTTGTTGGAGGACTGAAGGAAAAAACCTAAAGCATGCTGCGGCCTAAAGCAAATGTGACTATATAGTGGGCAGTGCCTTAATAGTACACATGGTTAAGATTGGTTTGCTCTTGAGTAGATGATCCTTGCATTCATAATCAATGAGAGATATGTACAAGAAAATAAAATTCCTTATTTTATTTTGTAGATATGATGTCAGCATTAGGATTAGAAGAGGAGGAAGATACAGAATCACCCTGGGATTCAGAGGTACTTTCTATTAAGACAACTATCATTATCATATTATTTCCATTCAGTCATTTCCTTTCCAGTGCTTGCTTCTGTTGCATCCCCTATACAAGACTGGACTGAACTGCCTTCATGTTCCTTTACAGTTGGGTGGATTTATAGATTTTGTAAGAGTGGGATGCAGTACTTCTATTATATCAGGAGCTGTATAGTTAGGTTTGTTAATAACCTCCTGATAGCTAACCCCTTATTTAGAATCGAGTTATAGCTTTGTAAGGAATCTCAGGAGTTATCCAGTTCAGCCTTCTGCAGATACAGGATATGCTAGTCTGAAATCATTCTAGAGAGATTCCTAATCAGCCGTATCTTGAAAACCACCAACAAAGGGAATTCTACAGTTTTTCTACACAAGTCATTCTTAATTTTCCACTTTTTTTACAATTAGGAGATTTGTCCCAACTCTGCTTTGCTGTAGTGTAAACCCATTGCCTCGTGTGGCTTGCTGGACCAAAAAAGAATAATTTTTCTCCATCTGTTTATGGACGCCTTTAAAATATTTTAAAATTGTCCAAAACTTCCTCATGTTAAATTTTCAGAATTTTATTACTTTTGGTTATTCTGTTTCAAATATGGAATTATTCTCATTATTACCTAGGTGCTGTTGAAGTAATTTGTGGCAGAATATAATCCTTTACCTTTTTATTTACAAATTTCCTATCTAGGCCTCCTTGTTAGTTGATATACACATGCTTAGAACTTCTTGAAAAATTGTATGCATTACAGATACATAAATAGCTATGTTCCCTTGTCTTTCCTATTTGAAAGTATGTATAAAGGAAAAGACCCAGCTGTCATTCAGTTTTGTAGACAGTGGGTGCATCTACACGTGCATTAACATGCTTTAGCTAATGTACATTAAATCTAGTACCTCCATTTTGAGATACTAGGAAAATGCTCATTAGCTTGTCCTAATGCACCTTAACTAAAGAGCACAGGGCTCTTTTACATGTGCTCTGGGAATGAGGAGGTGGTGCTTTAATTAGAGTGGCTCTGGGAGCTACTCTAAAGTGCCGCAGCATCTCATTTATCAGCAGTGGGGGTGCTTGAACTAAAGCTCATTTAGTTCAAGTGCCCAGGCTGCCATTTTGAAGCACAGGGACACTGATGCATGAGATGCAGGACGCTGTTGGAGCATGGTAATTGCCGTGTTCCAGCAGACTCAGTTAATCGAGTCTGCTCTGATGCACTGTAATTACAGGTTAAGATAATAAAGCGCACACTGAAAAAGGTTGCTAGAATAGCAACTACATTTTTATGATAAATGCCAGTTTGTATCTGCAGTAGAGGTAAAGTTCATATCCTCAATATTCAAGTTTACAGGGACCATGAACTGCAGGTCTGCAGTAGAAGAATTTCAGAACAGAAATCCCAAGCAGGCCAGAGTTGATAAAAACCAAACACTATCTTAAAACTTTAAGATACATATTTTTAAATGAAAATATGTTAAGCTGTCTCAAAAGGAGGTGCTTTCTCTGGGTGCTGTTAATTTCTTCTTTACTGGGTATATCTACACATGCATTTCAATGTGTATTAGCCTATTTTAATGTTTTTTTGTGATGCATTAAAGCATCACAAAAAAATGGAATCAGAACTCATGGCAGAGGTGATATCTTTTATTAGACCAACTAGATATTTGCATAAAAATGTCTTTATTTGAAAGCTTTCGGGTATCTTTTTTCAGGCATAGGAGGATGCAAATATTGTAAAATTTCCCCTAGGGCCCGAAAGCTTGCAAATAAAGACATGTTTTGCAAATATATCATTTGGTCTAATAAAAGATTTCACCTCTGCCACTAGTTCTGATTCCTTTTGCCTGTAGACCAATATGACCACAACCTGTATAACTAAAAAGAAGTGCTTTTTAGTTGATGTGTATTAAAATTGGCTAATGCACATTAAATATCACTTGAAAACCTTGTGTGCCTGTACACTCCACACTTGTGTACAGGCAACCACAGTTTTGAAGTGACACTTTTGCACATTAATCTATTTTAATGCTCATTAAGTAAAAAGCATGTTTTTAGTGACACTTTAATGTGCATTAAAATAGGGCAATGCACATTAAAGTTCATGTGTAGATGTGCCCAGTAAGGAAGAAATTAACAGTGCCCGGAGCTAGCCCCCTCCCTTTTGAGACAACTTAGCATAGTTTCACTTAAAAATATGAAACTTGAAGTCTTAAGATCATATTTGGTTTTATCAACTTTGGCCTGCTTGATGCTCTTTTGAAGTTCCTCTTGTACTGCAGACCTGTTGATCATGGTCCCTGTAGACTTGAATACTGAGGACATGAACGTCACCTCCACTATAGGTACAAACTGGCATTTATCATAAAAATGTAGTTGCTATTCAAGCATTTTTTCAGTGATGTGCTTCATTATCTTACTCTGTCCCCCTCCCCCAACTTTATACTGAATTATAACAATTAATTTAGTTTTAACCAGGCAAGTTCAGATATCTTGGTGATGAAAATTTGAACTGGTGTTTTACTAACCTTCTAAATTACTCATATGTAATGTTGCTTCCAAATAGATGGAATAATGGCATTTTCTGTCCAGAGTTTTTGCAGAGACCCTTGGGTGTTGAGTAGCTTGAAAAACAGGTTTATTTGGAAATCAGTCTGATACTAATTTCCAGATAGCCCTGGAACTAAGTATTTGTAATTTTTTTGTGGAGTATGGCTAAAAATATATTTTACCCAGTTTGTCATGATGGTTTGTTTGTTTGTTTTTCCTCAATCAACAAGTGTGCCTCTGAAAGCCCAAGAAAACCATCAGCTGGTTTGTTGGCTTTACCTGTATTCAGACCTGAAACACATATGCAGAGTATTTCAGAGGAACCAAACAAAGGTACTATCCGCATTGAACTATTATGCATCCTTTGCGAACTTCTACAAAATAAACTTAATTTCATATATACATATGTATTAGAAGGGCTTTAAAAAGTCTAGGCACTCTCAGCAGCAATAGAAGACTTTTTGTTAATTGCTATTATTGATGGTTTTGATGATATTTAATTTAGATAAGACCGATGAATGCTTTACCTTTTAAATTCAGGAGATAATCTCCTTCAGAGAAAAGTTATTTTCTTGCTCTATTGACTACAGTAGCTTAATGGAGGAGTAATTGGAATAAGTTTCTTTAGTAGCTTGGATTGTGTTTTCGCTAGTCTTATACTTATCCACCACCCCCCTGCTAGTTCCAGCCTGTGAATTAGTCCCGCACCCCTCATCCAATTTGTGGGGCTGAATCAGTTGAGTACCACTGCTTTGGTGTGGTGCTTCTAAAATAAGTAAATCACTATTGAAAAATGATGACAGAAGCTTTGTAAGGTATTTCAGTATTCCATTTTGAGAAATCCAAATGATATTTTCTTTTTTAACAAGGCTTACAATTTATAGTATTAAAATGGTATTAAAATGTTGGTATATATCCTCCCTTAGACACATTTTACATACCTTCTTTCATAAGAGGATCAAGAAATTGTAAGATGACTAAAATAGAGGATTCAAGAAGTTTAGTCAGGCCAGTAGAACACGTGGGTATGGAAATGATTTTACATCAGACAAAAATTTAAATGCTGTTATTGAGAATTATACTACAGGTGGACAGTAGAGCCAAACAGAAAACTTTCTATTATTTGTTTTTAAGCTAAACAAAGTGATCATTGGATTATTAAACTGAAATTATATCATTTAATGGTGACCTTATTTTTCCTTTATTTGTGTATAACTCTCACCCTTCCATTTATAGACAACAAAGTTCATAACTACATAAACACTTGTAGCATAATCACAGTAATAGTACTATTGCATTGCTTTATGCCATTAAACTACTGCAGTCTGCTTTAGTTTGTTCTAATTTTCTAATTGGGGGGCCAAATACTACTTAAAAAAATAATTAAGGTTTGTACTTGTTCTGTTAACCAGCATGGCCTTATTGCTTCACATGACTATTCTTGTTCAGTCGCTTGAAATCTGAGGTGCATGATGGAACAATCATGTTTTACAATACTAACACAGGTACGGTTGCTATAAAGTATGTAATCTAATTAAAATTAGGTCTTTGGGAATTACGTATATGCTAAGATAACACTGCAAATAAGCAGTGCATGGTTATAAACCAGTTACTCTGCATCAAGTCACTGACTCTTGCATATAAGCATTTTAAATAATCATAGGTAAAACTTTTTCCTCTTTTAGATTTTTCAGAGAAACACAGTGATTCACAGGTAAATACCATTTATTCTAAGAATTCGTCTTATTAATTAAAATGTAATTATCTTCAATTTTAATGTCCTATGTTGCTATTTTATAGCAAAAGTCCACTCGAGAAATCATAGAGACAAATGACAACTCTTATCCCACAAAAGTGAGGGAGACTGGGGAGAGGCAAAAATCAGGTAATGTTTACAATGTTAAATTTTGGTGGAGCAGCTGGAACCTTTAATAGGAAATATTAAGTTAAAATGTTGTTGACTTTTCGCTTTTGCAGATTTAATGGAAGAATTTGGTTTAGATGATGCAGATGATATTGAAGGTATTTGTAGTATTTTAATTGTAATTGCATGCATAAATTACTTACCAGAAAATGTATGAACTTCCATAGTTAATTTTGCTAACATTCTGGTTTTTAACAACATACTGTATAGCATTTTTCTAGTTGTTAAGGAACACAAGTGACTCAAAAATAAGCTTCCTTTTCGGACCCTAAATTCCATGCTCAGAATAGGTAAATGTATAGGGATTTTAGTTTGGTTGTTTTAGCATACACATGTATAGTGTACATGCATACATGCACAGATATAGAGATAGATATGTATATAAATTTGGACAGTTTTTCTCTTTTATTGTGTATTTTTTTATTTTACTTATCAGTCCTGAGGTGATTCTGTGTTCAGGGTTCTGTATTCCCACTGCAAAAATAAGGTGGTATACCTGTGCAGCTGAATGAAGGGATTACAAAATCTTGGACTCAGATCTAGTCAGGTGAGATAATGTTAATGCATTTCAAAGTAGGCTTGGCAAGCCAGTCAGTTGATGGGTCAAATATTGTCAGTTAACTTGTCAATTGACTGAATATTTTTTGACCAGTCAAAGATTATAGCAATTTTACAAAAAAATGTACATTTTTGGGTAGTTTTCTTGACAGAAACATTATTTTTTATTTGGGGATCTCAAATTGTTTTTATGTGTTGTTTAAAAAATTAGTACTTTAGGTCAGCCTTAATTTTAAATCCAGTTGACTTTAAGCTTCCCTTTTTTTCTTTCTGTTGCAATAGCTGATTTTTTGGACGAAGCTTGAAAGCATTGAGAAATGCTTTATTAATAAAACATGAGTGTTTTTTCCTTTTGTAGTATAAGACTCTAGGGACCTAATACATGGACTGAGACTCCAATATATATCCAAACAGTAGTCCCTTCACAGGATTTTCTGCTGATGCTTGCTCTTTCTCTACTCCATATTTTAATAAGCTACATGGCACCTTTTTCTCTCCAATATTATCTCAAGACTTAATAAAAACTTCATGGGCAGGGAGTCATGCCCTTTGTAGCTGGGAATTTCCAGTATCTGAATGTCCAAGGGGCCCTTATTTTAATTACTCTGTAGATTTTGAAAAACTGTACATTTGCCAAGCCTACAGAGAATAGAATGAGAAAGATAGTACTTTCTCATTCTTCTTCAAGTATAGATTAACTTCTATCTTCTGCCCTTGGAATAAGGTTTTCAGGTCATAGCAAATTGTCCCTTTCCCATATGTATAAAGTAAGGATTTTGAGCAATATCTTTTATTGGACCAATGACATGGTTGGGATAGACTTAGACAAGCTTTTAAATGCAGCTCATCCTTCTTCTGCTCCAAAAATATCTCCGCCTCCCACATATTTCCTGAACCATCACTGCTAGTACAATGCTACTATGTTTCTCTGGTTTTTGGCCCTTATTTATTAGGAAGGAAGCCTTAGTACAAAAGGGCTGGAAAAAGCTCTGTCCTGTACTCATAAGATAACAAAAAATATTTTAAAGCTTGCTAAAGTGCAAGGTGACTGTATTTTCTTAACCATAGTTTCTGGGTGTATATAAACTGCTTTGTATAGCTCTGTGTGTCTACAGTGAATGCAATACCTTGAATCACTGTATGTATCTGAGGATACAAAGATAGTCTTCTGCATGACAGCAGTTGATTTCTGTGTACTTTGCTAGAACTAAGTTTTACTATACGAATGTTTAATATATTATTTTTTTACAATATATCGTTTTTCACATTCTTTTCAGATGCATCAGACTGGGATTCTACCAGTGTTTCACTTAAAAATTTACCCAATAATAGAAGTTCCAAGGTCATGACAGTTGAGAATCATGCTTCTCCATTGTCAGCACTGACAGCAAAAAATGATATAGCAGGAACAGATTGCAGAATTACTCCTCCAAAAGTAGAAGAAATGTCAAATGATCAAACTGAAGCTTCCCCCCAAAATGCCAGTTTACACCTTGTCCAAAAGCTAGTAACTCCAAAGAGCAAAGGTATTTTATTTGTTAATAACATATCATGTCATTGTTTCCAGTTGGCTTTGTTACATTTACTGTGGAAAGAAGTGTCTTGAAAACTGAAATGTTGGGAATGGAAAGCTACTGCGGTCCCCTCTTGCTCTTCCCTTGTCCCATGTCTACGCTAAGGCTTAGGGTAAAATTTTTCAAGAGTCCTTAAGTTAGATTTTTCAGAAGTCACAAAGACTCTGGGGCAATTAAATCTCATTTAAAATAAATTATCAGGAATATGCCTCTCAAGCAGTGGATTCAACATATAGGATTAGACTCAAAATCTGAGTAGATGAACAACCACTTGAAAGTGTGGAATAAGCACAGAAGTTAAAAAGGAGCAATCATCAAAAAATGATACAAAATTTAGGAGTTATAACTTGGTGTAGACAAAGACATGGGGCAATCTCTCTTTAATTTTTTTAAAAGCCTGCATTCTCTGAAAAATTCATCTTGCTTAAGGTCAGTTAAGGAAACTCAGTAGTTATATCTGGATGTCACGCTGTATTGAAAGCCAGGCACTAAAACAGGGGTGGCCAACCTGTGGCACTGGTGCTACAAGTGGCAATAGGCAGCCTTTGTGTGCGTCACACGGCAGATTGGGGAGGGGACAGCAACAGATAGGGCAAGAAGCAGAAAGCTATGCGGCAAATCAGACAGGGAACATAAGGCTGGGGTCAGAAAACAGAGCAGCAGATTGAGCAGGAGAATGGGATCAGCACAGCAGTTTGGGAGGGTGTGGGGCTGATTTGTGGTAGGCCTGCCAAAAAAGTAGGCCCCTGATACAGGATAAGATTAGTGTTGACTTATTGTAATCATCTATAAAAGATTTTATTGGTTCAAAATTAAGATATCAGTTTGATAGTAAATCTCATATTTTGCAAGTTTTCTTGTTTCCTTAGTTCATGTAGGCAACTTTGATTTTTCATTGACGTGTTGGTTTGTATTAAAACTATCTTCATGTGTTTTTAATGTAATTATTTTAGCTGCAGAATCTGGTTATTCACAGAATACTCCTGGTATGATTAAGTTTCATTTACAAATTATCTTTTTATTCATTGTTCATATAGATGAATTGCCAGAACCTGCTGTTAACGTGTCTTTGCCAGACAAAAAGGGGCTCAAAGATCCAGGTGAAAATTGTGAGAAGCAGGTGAGTCAAATAAACCAGAAAAGAATATTAATGCTTTGCTTAATTTTATGCCATCATTACATAAAAGTAGTATCAGTCTGTTCACTTGCTGAGTTGCTGGATGAGGAATGTCAAAAAGTTATTGCCATGTATTAAAAAAAGAAAACAAAACTGTACATGACCCATAGTGCCAATGAGCTTTGCTAGATAAATGATCCTGTGGACTAATACCATATTATGACAGATCTAGTAGTAGAATGTATAACTAACGTTGCCTGACACTTCACATTGTAGGACCTTATTTTCAGTAGTTTTAAAGTTTGCTAAACGTTACCCCTTTAGACTGAAATTTTCTGTCCTGGGCATCTGCTTCAGACTTTGTTTTAATTAAATAAAAAAATGTTTGTGTTTCTAAAATGAAATTGGTGGGGGTGGTGGACATGTTACTCAAATTTAAAAATTCTATCAACTTCTTTTAAAAGCTCTAGTGTTCCCTTGCTTTTATGAAGGAACTTGCCTTTTTAGCAGGGGAGGGATGCTTTTAGTTTTTCTCTTAGAAATTCACTTATATTTTACCAAGTGACAAGCAGTTTTGAAAAATTGCAGGTTGCCTGTCTTCAGTAGATACTTTTTAGACATTTGTAGCTAAATCACGGAAAGATTACATAGGTGATTAAAGAAGCTAAGGATATATGTTAGCACAGAGCATATTACAGAGATCATGACTATAATTTCAGCTCTTTCTGCTGTAGGCTGTGTCATGTCAGGCTGTAGGCGTGTGCACTGACAGCAGAGAGACTCTCGTTCTCTCTTTTGTGCTCTCAGTGACCCTCAAGCACCATGGAGTTCCAGGAAAATGCCAAAGGCTAAGATTAAGACATTTCTGGGAAACAATAGGTGCAGAACAAAGGTGAAGGGATCTGGGGCTCAGATCATTATCTCTTTGATCCTTCCAGTCAAGGAAAAGGGCCCAGGCAGTAACAGGTGCATCCTGCAGATCAATACCTGGCTGCGCAGGTGGTGTCACCTGCAGGGCTTTGGCTTCTTTGACCATGGGATGTTGTTACAAGAAGAAGAGATGGGATCCACCTGAGGATGAAAAGGAAGAGCATCTTCCCAGACAAGCTCGCTAACCTAGTGAGGAGGGCTTTAAACTAGGTTCACTGAGGGCTGGAAACCAAAGCCCTGAGGTAAGTGGGGAAGCAGGAGACCTGGGGAAAGAGCAAGCAGCAGGGGCCAACAGGGGAAGTATTCTCATACTTCCTGAGAAATCAGGGCAATCGTCTAGTTACCTCAGGTGCCTGTACATGAATACATGGAACCTGGGAAACGAGCAGGAAGAACTGGAAGTCCTTGCGCAGTCACGGAACTATGATGTGGTTGGAATAACAGAGACTTAGTGGGATAGCTCACATGACTGGAGCGCTGTCGTGGATGGATACAAACTGTTCAGGAAGGACAGGCAAGGAAGATGAGGAGGAGTTGCACTTTATGTAAAAGAGCCATATGATTGCTCAGAGCTCCAGTATGAAGCTGGAGATAGGCCTGTTGAAAGTCTCTGGGTTAAGGTTAGAGGGGAGAGCAACAAGGGCGATGCTGTGGTGGGGGTCTGCTATAGACCACCAGACCAGGAGGAAGTGGTGGATAAGGCTTTCTTCCAACAGCTATTAGAATTTTCCCAATCACAAGCCCTGGTTCCTGTGGGAGACTTCAGTCACCCCGACATCTGCTGCAAGGGCAATACAGCAGCGCGCAGGCAAGCCAGGAAGTTTTTGGAGTGTTGGGGACAACTTCATGGTACAAGTGCTGGAGTGACCAACTAGGGGCCATGCTCTTCTTGACCTGCTGCTCACAAACAGGGAAGAATTGATGGGGAATGTAGTAGTGGATGGCAACTTAGGCAGCAGTAACCATGAGGTGATTTTGTTCAGGATCCTGAGGAAAGGAAGTGTGGAGAGCAGTAGAGTACAGACCCTGGACTTCAGAAAATCAAACTTCAATTCACTCAGGGAACTCATGGACAGGATCCCCTGGGAAGCCAGTCTGAGGTACAGAAGAGTCCAGGACAGCTGGCTATACTTTAAAGAAGCCCTACTAAGTATGCAGGAACAAACCATCCCAATGTGCAGGAAGACTAGAAAGTATGGCAGAAGACCAGCAAGTATGGCAGAAGACCAGCTTGGCTTGGCAGAGAACTCTTCAGTAAACTAAATCACAGAAAAGAAGTTTATAAGAAGTGGAAACTTGGACAAATAACTAGGGAGGAGTATAAGAGCATTGCTTGGGCATGCAGGGATGAAGTCAGGAAGGCCAAAGCGCAATTGGAGTGAAGCCAGCAAGGGACGTGAAGGTTAATAAGGGTTTCTTCAATATGTTGGTAGCAAGAGAAAGATCAGGGAAAGTGTGGATCCCTTACTGCATGTGGGAGGCAACCTTGTATCAGAGGATGCAGAAACAGCTGAAGTGCTTAATGCCTTCTTCACCTCAGTCTTCACAGGCAAGGTCAGCTCCCCGACTACTGCACCTGGCAGCACAGTTTGGGGAGGAGGTGAGCAGCCAACCACAGTGAAAGAACAGGTTAGGGACTGTTTAGAAAAGCTGGACATATACAAGTCCATAGGGCCAGGTGGGATGCTCCCTAGGGTGTGGAGGAAGTTGGCTGATGAGATTGCAGAGCCACTGGCCATTATGTTTGAAAACCCATGGCAATCGGGAGAGGTCCCGGATGATTGGACTTTTCCTTTGGCAAACATAGCGCCCATATTTAAGAAAGGGAAAAAGGAGGATCCAGGGAACTACAAACCAGTCAGCCTCACCTCAGTCCCTGGAAACATCATGGAGCAGATCATCAAGGGATCCATCTCGAAGCCCTTGAGGGAGAAGAAGGTCATTAGGAACCGTCAGCATGGATTCACCAAGGGCAAGTCATGCCTGACCAACCTAATTGCTTTCTATGACGAGGTGACTGTGTCTTTGGGTGCGGGGAGACCAGTGGATGTGATATACCTTGATTTTAGCAAGGCTTTTGATACGGTCGCCCACAACATTCTCACAGGCAAGCTAAGGGAGAATGGGATGGATGAATGGACTGTAAAGTGGTTATAAAATTGGCTGGAACATCAGGCTCAGAGGGTAATAATCAATGACTCGGTATCTAGTTGGCAGCCAGTATCAAGTGGAGTGCTCCAGGGGTCAGTCCTGCGGCTGGTTTTATTCCATGTCTTCATCAACGACCTGGAAGATGGCATAGAGTGCACCCTCATCAAGTTTTCAGGTGACACCAAGCTGGGTGGAGTAGTAGATATGCTGAAGGGTAGGGCTAGGATTCAGTGTGACATAGACAAATTGGAGGATTGGGCCAAAAGAAATTTCATGAGGTTCAACAATGACAAGTGCAAAGTTCTGCACTTAGGACAGAACAATCCCATACACCGGTACAGGCTGAGGGCAGACTGGCTGGGCAGCAGCTCTGCAGAAAAGGACCTGGGGGTTATGGTAGACAGTAAGATGAATATGAGCGAACAGTGTGCCCTTGTTGCAAAGAAGGCTAATGGCATACTGGGCTGTGTCAGTAGGTATGTTGCCAGCAGATTAAGGGAAGTGATTCTTCCCCTCTATTCTGCACTGGTGAAGCCACATCTGGAGTGCTGTGTTCAGTTTTGGGCCTCCCACTACAGAAGGGATATGCCAGTACCCTTCCCCTGCCCATGCCATTGCCCCTCACTCCCAGGGTGCAGCCCCCTTGCCCTGCTGGTGCCCTTCCAAACCCGCTGCCCCCCAGACCACCTGTATATGAGAAAAGGTGCGTGGAGGGGGTAAGGGGCTGTAGGCACAGTCGATGTGTGTGGGGGATATGCTGCCCCATATTTCTGTGCCCACAGAGGGGTGCAGGACTGCAGCTGGGCCAGACCAGCTTCGTCCAGGAGCTGCTTCTGTGACTCAGCAGGAAGTACCTAGCACAGGAAGGAGTGCCATGCCACCATGACTGCCAAAGTGAGGTGCCTCCTGCTCATTTGGCAGCAGCGGGGTGCACAACTCTGTGCCACTGTGCCTTTACTTGGTGGCTATGGTGGTGCGGTACTCCCTTCCGCTTTGGGTCGTACCCTCTGGGCCTCAAAGGCAGCTCCTCAGGTGTGGAAATCAGTGCTTTCTATTCTCCCAGGATATTCCCTTCCTCTTTAAACATCCTGAGGTACTTGCAACCTGGGAGCCTGGCATGCCGGCCAGTGTGTTTAATTCCTCTAGCTGCAGGTGCCCTTTTACATTTTTTAACACTACAAAAATAACATATAGAGATGGCACTGAACTGCTGAACTAATGGGATGGTATTGGGACAAGCTGCTTAAGAAGTTTGGGACTAGGATAAGTCTTAACATTTTAGAGACTGGGTCAAGCTAAGTGAGAAAATGAGGGAGTATTTATGATGACAAAGGTAGGGATGAGACAGGTCTAGGACAGGGGCAGTTTGCAGGAGATGGGGCAAAAGGGTTTATGCTTTAAGGGAAAGTGGGTAGTGTGGTTCCAATACAAGAGCCTCCTGCAGATCCAGAAAGGGAACCCAGTATTTCTGAGTCTCAGCGTTCATCAGCTATCAGAGGTGTTACAGCAGTAGTTCTCAACATTTTTAGACTCAAGGCACCCCTAAGGAAATGCCAGTTCTTACTTTTCATTCATTTTTTGACGATAGGAAAATAATAGAGCAATTTTTTGTTGCTAAGAATTCAAACCACAGAAGGTCAGAATGTTTTTAAATTACGCATTCCTATTTGAAATCTCTGAGTTTATCCTGTGAATCATTTTTGCACACCTAACAGTGCTAATGTTGTGTGGCACCGCACAGCACCCTTGAAAAAAAAATTTCAAAGCACCCTGGTTGAGAAACACTGTGTATGAGTGGTGTAGCTATGACGGTTCAGGAATTATGAAAGGATTTTTTGTGGGGGATATATTTTTTTAGACCAACTGCATGGTTGGAATAAAGTATCAGCTCCAAGCAAGTGTCTGTGAAATTCACCAAGAAATTGTTTCATTCCCCTCTGGCAGTCTATTCAAAGAATAAAAATCTATTCCTCTTTCATTTACTCTGTTAGTTCAAATGATAATGGTCAGCCTGCTGATAAGTCATATTAACATCAATACAGTACTACACAATGAAATTTCAGGGAGGGGGAGGTGTTACTTATTGTATTAAACTAGGAAATTATTCTTCAGAGTGATATTAATGGAAGAAAACATGGATAAAAAGAAAACACTCTAAGTTATAAAAACTAAGGTTTCCTGTACCACCTGTCCCCCTTGTGTGTAATCATTCTCATATGTTACTGTTTTTAATTATGAAGTCATGCACCATTTTTTCTCTTACCCTATATATGTGAATAATCTCACTGATTTCAATGGGACAGTTACCTTAGTCTGCTTTTATGGGATTACATATTTCTAGGGGAGAAGGTCTTTTTTTTACCTTTTTGTAAAAAAACTCCTTTTTGTTGAAGGGAAGTTTGTACTTAGGAGTCATCCTAATATAACGGTTGGCTATAGAAGAATCACCTTTGTAGTAATGGTACAGTAATTATTACTACATTGGACCAAGTGATGGCAGCCAGAACATTATCCGTAGAAAGGAAGCCAGTAAAATAGAGTATTGCATCAAAAGTGACACCTCTTGGTTATATAACAGTTTTTAAATTATTGAGGGTAAGGTAATTTGTGTGGATAAAAATTGGTGATTTTTTTTAGAAATCATAACTTTAAAAAATGCATATTCCTTTTAAAAAATAAATTTATATGAACTTGTCACAAACTGTGCTAAGACTAAACTTACTATTGTCTTAAAATATTTCATTTTTTAAAAATATACATGATTGCTGCTGTCATTTTAAAATCTAACTACCAAACAAATGAAAGTCACTTGGAAACAGTTTGTCAAACTGCTTAGCAGCTTTCTACAATAGCTTCTTCTTGTAAGCTGTATCAGAAGTATTTTCTTCATTGCAGCTAATCAAGCAATCTATTTGAATCATTCATATATTCAAAATTGAGAAACTTATTGGAAGTTGCAAAGCCGAAAATCTTTTCTTCCTATTCCGGTCTCTAGTAAAAATGAGGTATAAGCATATGAGATCAGTCGGTTCTAAAATTTTGAAAGACATAGTAATCAGAAAAAATCAGTTTATTCTGTTAATAATCTACACCTAAAACATACTTTGTTTAATAAGTCTGTTTTAAATATAGTAGCTACTTTTCTCTTATATATTCAACATATTTTGTTGTATTTAACTAAGAAAAATATTTTATATTGCTTTTTTATTCGTTTCAAATTGTATTTCAATTTCTGTCTATGTAGAACTTCATCCAAATCATGAATAAAAAAATACTTATGGAGAAATCTATCACTTACCATTTCCTAATAACATAAACATTTAAGAAGCTGAATTTAAATGTTTATTATTGTATTCAAATAAATATATAACCTCTTGGTTAGGAAAAATAGTATCAATTTTAGTTTAAAATTATATTTAGTTGTAAACTGAAATGTTTATTTGTTCTCAGTGACTGGAATCACTTTTTTGGTAGAATAACTAAAAAGTACACATATAAGACAGGACTAAAATAGTCAAGATTTCCTGTCTTCTGATTTAAATCATGCTTAGCATTTGTTTTATATTGTTTTGAGTTGAATGAGTCCATCTTGATTTGTCATTCATTTTGAATAACTAATTTTGTAATTCTAAATTTGAAGATGATGGTATTTTTAGTCACAAATGTCAGTGATGGATGTATATTGTTTAGCAGAACCACCTCTACAGTTCGTATTGTTTTCATCAAACAACTTGAAACCAGAGTCCCTTCCTGCATTAAAAGTTATGGGACTTAGAAATCTGTACAAGGTGTACTTTGCAGAGCTTACCCCCACGTCATTCCAGTGGGAGCTGAAGTTTGCCTCATAACTATGGAAAGGTCCCACAAAACCTGGAGGATCCCAGAGGATTTGTCAGAGGCCAAAGCATCCTTGTAGAAGCCTGGAGCATCTGTTCCAATAGCATGCCCCTTTTGAAAGCTTAATACCCACTGGATTTATTTTACAGATTCATCCTATCTTGGCATCTCTTTTGGTTTAGACCAGTGGTGCTCAAACCTTTTCCTCAACAGGTCAGATGGGCTGCGGCTGGTCTGCTGATGGGGCCGATGGTCGTTCTGATCCAGCACCCAGGGCCGGTGTGGTAGCCACCATCCAGCCTCAGGAAGGGAGGCGAGGGGCAGCCTAGCCTGAGCCCATCTCAGCATGGGGGGAAGGAGAGCTACACTTGGCATGGTGGGGTGGGTGGGAGGGAGGGGAGACATGACCTAGCCCTGCAAGGGGGAAGAGGATGTGACCCAGCCTGGCCCTGAGTGAGGAAAAAGCAGCATGACCTGGCTTCCTTGGGGAAAGGGGACATGGCCTGTCCCTGCAAAGGGAGAGGACACAGCCTGGCTCTGGCCCAGCGCTGTGTGGGAGAAAAGGGAGCATGCCCTGACTCTGGCCTGGCCCCACTGGCGGCTTGGGGTTTTGGAATTTGGCAGGGAGTAGGGTGGCTGTATACATGGCCACAGCTTCCCCACTGCCAACTTTCCTGACCTGTGGGTATCTTCATGGGCCACATGTGACGGCCGGAGATTGAGCACCCTTGATTTAGACTAAGAGAACATCAGGGAAAAGTTAGCACAGTATCTAGCTCTACAGACTTTCTCAGGCAACTTCTATGTTGAATTTTCTCTACTTTCAAATATGTTTAGAAGAGACATTGGACCAGTTTGTGCTTTCTTTTAAGTCCATGTGAGCTCTCTCATATATTCACCTGACATGAACAGTCTCCTTCATTTCCTGTGGTGCAGTCTCTGGACCAGCAGAGAGGGGTTCAGATAAGGAGTGGTCTAAGGAAAGAAGGAAGTTTTGTACATGCAGGAGACCATCTCCTTGCACAGACCTAAGGTGCACAATGTAGCCCAGTGTCTAAGTTTAGATGCTTTTATATACTTCAGATGACATAAAATGGGCAAATTAAAAAGAAAATTTGTTGTGCAGATAAATCCATTCCTACCAAAATAAAACCCTAAAAATGTCTTTGTTTTATAAATAAGATTTATAAACTTCCAGAATATTTAAGATTCCCAACCATGATTTGTTTGGCACAGATTTGTGATAAGTGGCAAGTTTACAGTGTGAATTATTTTACGAGATTAATTATACCTGCTGGTTTTTTGTGTTAATTTTTCTTTGTCTACACTTGCTTACTTAAGGATAAATATATGTTAGACACAACCAACTTGACAGAAAAAACAGCACTTGAAAATCAGACTGACAAAACAGAGATTTCACTTTTACATCAGGAAACACTAGAACAAAATGAACAATCAAACAGAGAGCTTGTGCAAGTGAATCCAAAACTTTGGGAGCAAAGATACGAAAAAATGTGGATTGAAAATGAGAAAAGGGATTTGAAAACAAATTTTAAAAACATTACAGCAGAGCTAAAGCAGATGTTTGGTGAAATTAATGAAACTGAGAAAACAACTACACCTACAGAGGGGACATCAGAAGATGGCTTCAGTGAAGGACTGGAGAGCATTTGTGAAGCTCCACTTAAACTGACAAAACCCACCAATCACACAAAAAGAAAAGGTGAATTTGGGGATTTGCAGTCTGTACCTGAACAAAAGGAATCCAGCTGTGAAGTCTTAATTCCAAAGTCTCCTGATCAGTATGTTTTCAAGGCAAGCTGTGAACCTATTTGGAATGTAAATGAAGAAAGTTGTACTAAAGATGAAGTAAGTACAAAAATAGCAGAAACTAAAGACGTGGAAGACCAAATGTCTGACACACAAATAAAAAGAAATGCAGATGGAAATACTATTTTAGAGAGAAACCTTGATTATTCACAAAAGTACATTTTGGAAGAAAGCATTTTGGAGAAAAGTTCCCAAACTCTTGATATCGTAAGACCTGTTTCTACAGATGATAAAAATAAGCTATCTGGTATAGTGAAGAGGAATATTGAAACAGACTTATCCCAGTTTAATGACAGTGTCCCCAAAGACTGCTTTGTCAGTAATCCTAAAATTAGCAAAACAAAAATTGAAAGTAATTTGAAAACCTCTCAACAATCTTGTGATGACACGTTGAAAAGGCAGCTTGATGAAGAACTGGAGCAAGATATGGAAAGATTTAAGAATGAGGTAGGAATGCTACAAGTAGTATTCCTGGCTTTAGAAAAAGAGAAGGTACAACTACAAAAAGAGGTAGAGGTTCACCTGCTGCTTCTCCATATTCTTTGATCTTTCTCCACATAAACCATCCTGTTCACTTCAGCTATTCATCATTAAAGGAAACTGTTTTGTACAAATTGTACTGCTTCCTGTGCAGTGCTGAAGAGGGGCAGATGCAGAGAATTGTTTGGGTTTTTTTCTTCCTCTGTTTTGAAAGTTTAAGAAAAACTGAAATTCAGTTTTCCATAGTAATTAGTCTTCAAACAAAGGGGCATATTCAGTTCTTCAACATGTGGTTCCCACTCCCATGACCTTAAAGGGAAAGCACAAATTTACATCAATTCAGATTTTGATTCAGAGAATGAAGATAGCTTCTGAACAGGATATTAACTAATTTGTGCATGTGTACCTCTGTTAACCCTTCGCTGAAACATCAGTTTGCTGTGAAACACTCTTTCGTTTTTGCTGTGAAACACTCTTTTTCATTTGAAGTTTATCATTTACATTTTTGTGAATCACATCTTTTCTGTCTTTAACATCGTGCTTTTATTCTAACTTTTTTGTATAAGATAAATTATGTTCGTTGCTTCATGTTTTAAGTTGTAGATGTTATTTAATATTTAAAGGCTATACATTTTTATAAATCTTGTTAATAGTGAGTGAATTCATCTTCCCCCCATATCTCTCAAAAGAGAAAGTACTCTGTTGCTGCATGTCCTCTGTTGTTCTGTATTGTGTGTTGCTGTTCTGTGTAGTGGAATATGTCAATAGAATGATTTAGAATGTAGTAGTACATCTGATAGCTTTATGTGAATTGTAGGGGTAAATACATCCTGTATGCAACATCTCTGTTTATTGGGTCAGGAAATACTGAAGCATAGTAAGCTGTAAACTTTCTTATCCTAGGTTGCAGAGGAAAAGAGAAAGCAGAAGTATGAAGAAATCGAAACAGTGGAGACAGAAGATGATGTGGATAAGTCAAACATATCAAATTTGACTGGAAGCACTGTTAATCTGCAGATGAAACAGAAGGTGGTTGTAAAGGGCAATGAGCCTTTTAAAAAAGAAAATGAAGAAATTATAGATGAAGAAAAACTAAAAATGATCCTTTCCTCCAAGGAGAGAGCAACATTAAATCAAATATCATTGAAGAGGTAAGCTAGTAAGAATAGAAATTGTAATCTTTACCTTATTGTCTGTAGAGGGTGTTTGGGGGGTTTTGGAGATAAACAAGGTTTCACAACTTTTTTTTGCTTACAAGTGATTTTGGATTTATTTTTCTCCCTAAAAAACAATTAAGGGCATAATAAATTGTGTACTGTTTATTAAATAAATGAACATGTTGGTCATAATTTCCAAAAGTAAATGCCTAAAGTTAAATCCCACAATTGGTTGCTTGATTTTTTAAAATACTAAAGATCCAAAATCTCCCATGGATTTCATTGTAAACATGCAGGCTCTAAATATATTTTAGAACCATAATAAGTTAGGCAGAATAAGTTTATCATAGTGGTTCTCAGCCTTTTTTTGTTTCAAGTCCCCCTTGTTTAGTATCAAGGCATCCTTTGGAAAATGCCAGCTCTTAGTTTCCAGTGATTTTTTGACTATGGAAAAACATTAGAATAGTCTTCTGTAGCAAAGAAATCCAAGAAGACCACAACAAGTCAGAATGTTTTTGACACTCTGAGTTCCTATTTTAAATCTTTGGTTTATCATGTAAATCGTGTTTACACACCTAACAGTGGTAACATTGTATGGTACCCTACAGCACCCTTGAAAGGATCTCAGGGCACGTGAGGGTGCCACAACACCACAACTGAGAATCACTGATTGATGATTAGTTGCAGACACAGCTATAAAAAGGCATTGGCTTGCAGCTTGCTGTTTTCCTTTTCAGATTATGCCCAGGTGTCTCTTTGTAGCCAATAGGTTTAGCAGTTTCCTTAATCCGTGTGCATGGTTTTGGTAGAGACAAAGGAAATGATCATTTTAACAGACTGACCACAAGAGCTAGAATGGGCTCAGGTAGACAGTGCTTGGCCTGCTAGTCACATATAAACAATTACTTTAAATTTAGCCACCCAGGAGCTAAGATCTTTTTAGCCTTTTAGCCATTGTTCTTGTTAACTGATGAACTCAGTTGAGGGCTCATCTGATGAAGAATTTTCAACTCTTTTTCTCTGTTGCATGCAGGCACATTCCTAACTTTGACCTGAACACATTATTCTATAATATTATTATGCTACCTCTGTAGCATGCCACAAAGCTCATTGTTACTCAGAGTGCTACCTTATTTACTTCTGGGGCATTTTAAGAACTCAGGGTGTGGACAGACATAATGCTTAGAACATTCTAAATAAAAATTAAAATCCAAGAGTCTAGACCTGCATGCCACGTAAGACTGGCCTATGGAATGTTTAAAAAGCACACCAAAAAAATCAAGTACTATTTTGAGCTGGTTCTCTGTGAACTGGCTCAGCGTTACATGGAGTCACAGAAACATTCCATCGCAAACTGTCCCTTTCCTAATCCCCCGCCCCCAACATCTACAAAGCAAGGGGCTGCTCTGGAATACAGTCAGTACTCTATTGTGCAAACCCCTGCGCTCAGCTTCCCCTCCCATTGGACCAGGCAGACCACAGGAGCAGGAGTGAGGACTTCAAAAATAAGAGTTATATAATATATAATAAGAATTCTGTCCCCCTGCCCTCCCAGTTTCACCACTTTCCTCCCTTCCCCTCTATGATGAGCTGCATGCTGCCTTCCCTCTCTTCCTGCTGTCCCTGCTATCACTGGCTGATGCAGTGTGAGGTGGGAAGCTTCAAAATCATTCCTGCCCTGATTCACCTGGGGACAGTGGCAGCAGGAACAAGCAGGCTTCTCTTTTCTGCCCTGTGGCCCCAGGTGTTCCCTGACAGCCCAGAAGCAAGTATGCGGGGGGCGGGGAATGGGGAAGTCCACCCACTGCCACTGTTGCTGTCCCTGGCCCAGCCCAGCTGGAGCAGACAGGAGTGTCTAAGTGTACAGGCCATGAGCATTCTGTGCTAGGGATGCGAACAGCTAAACAATTAATAGTTTAACCAGTAAGCCCAGTGATAACCAGTTATACTTTACTGGTTATCATTTAGTGTGTGGCAGGGTACAGTCCAGGGAAGGTGTGGGAAGGGAAGCCATGCAGTTACCCCAGCAGGAATCAGAAGGTGGCAGGGCAGGCAGTTAAGAAGGAGGGAGGGAGAGAGCAGCATGAAGGAGGGGAGGGGGAAGGGAGACCAGTGCCTATAGCTAGGCTCCATGGACCCCAGTGCAGTTGCTTGCAGCCTCCCTGCTGCCTGCCATGAGAAGCCTGAACTCCAGGAAGGCTTCTGCTTGGCAGCAGTGCAGTCTATTTAGAACCCTTAGTTATCCACACAGACATTTCAGTCAAGAGACAATTATGAACTAGTTCTCAATCAGTGACATACTTGGAACAGTTCAGCTGTTATGGCTGTCTATACCTACAGAATCACAATCTGCTTTTTAGTGGAATTCTCCCTTGCCTAAAAAAGAAAGTACCCAGTGCCAGCACGGTTCCTGATACAGAGTAAGTTCTCTGGTGTGCCAGTATACCTATGCACTGGGGAACAAAACTAGTACATTGCCCACTCCCTGTTCTTTCTTGCCAACTCTTTATCTACAGATGCATGGGGATTCAAGGATTTAGCTCTGTGGAGTCTTTTTTTCTACCATAATGACCTGGGTAGCCAGAGCAAGAAAATAGTGCACTTACGTTCCTTTGTTCACTTGTTTGACTAGGAAATTTGGGGACAGAAACCGCTAAGAAGATTCTCAGTCTGGATCTAGTGAACAGCTCATCTGGACAACAGTGTGACCACCCTTAAAATAAAGGATGTGAATAGGGTGGATGTAAAAAAAGTGTTGCAGAGTTTTGCATGGGGTATAATCACAGTAAAAAAGTAATCCTATTCAGTGAAACTACAGTATCATAATTAATTAATGTATGTATTTGAATGCAAAGGTGTAGCATAAGAAATTCATGTAAAATTTTTAGATTATTTCTTTAAGAAAGACATGCCTAACCTTGAAGTGAATTCCTGCCTCTGAGTAACTGCGCCTGCTAACAAAAGATTCAAATTAGCTTCTGTGGCGTAAATCTAGTCCACATTCTTATTGTATTTGACAATATGTTGTTTTGGGAAACTAAAGTTGCTTGCAATATTGTCATCTTTCAGTATACTTGGTGGAACCATCCTTAATGTTCTATCATAGAAAACATTTTTCTTCCAAGTTCTTCAGTATTCTTGGGTATTGTCATCTGTGTTTTTGTATTTCTGATGCAAAATGTTTTATTTGAAGATATTGAACGTTGAATTTTTCTTTATTCATTTAAAGCAGTAAGCCTGCCTTGAATATGAAAGACCTAAAGAAAAATAAAAACAAAAAGCGGATTTCAAAGCAAAGAGCTAATCAGCAGATGAATTCTGCCAGTGGAAGCCAGTTTGACGATAGCACTTTGAGTGAAACTTCTCAGGATGAAGGAAGGTACTGACTATAACAATTTTGTTACCATGTAAGATTATTAGAAATATAACGTATTTAATAGTAAACCTCATTGAAAGATGTAACAATTGAAATAATTGTATCTGTGTGTGACAGGGGTGCCACTATTGGAGCCTCTCCAGGTATGGCTCCGCCCTCCTGCAATGGGCCAACCGCCTCCTTACTTGCCTGCCACACCTTGATCTTATTTAATGATCAGATTGTTGTAATTAGCAGGAGGCTGCCTATTTCTATGCACCCCGATGACTGGGGGCGCTATCTGAGGCTCCTTTTCCTCTCCTACACCACAGCCCAAGCCTGCAGATAGTGCTGGTGTGATCTGATTTGGGCCCTGTTATGTCTCAGCCCTCCTTTTGCCTTCGGGACTCCTTGCTGCCCCCTGTCTCTCTCTCGGGGCTCCTTGCTGCCCCTCCGCACTCTTGGGGCTAGGCCAATGCACCCTGCAAAATACTGCGCCTTCTCTGGTGCCAGGAACCCCCACACTACTGGGGAGTCCCTATGAGGCCTTCTCCAACCCCTAATAGCCTCACCTGGTCCTCCGGTTAAACAGTAAACATAAAACACAAAGCCCCCGAGCTATAACATAAAGCTAAACCATCCAGTCAGACAACAGTTAATCCCTACCAGGCAAAAATACTCCAGCTCATAGCAGCAACCTGCAGATACTCATGCAGCCAAACCTTGGCCTTCTCTCCGCCCTGGCTGAGCTCCTCACTCCTTGGCTGCCAGAGGAGGAACTGCCACCCTAGCCTCCTGCCTGGGTTTAAGAAGGGCTAAGCCCTGCCCCTTCCTGTCAGGGGGTTTTGCTGGTTGCCCTGGCAACCAGCACCTGTGTTGCCCTGGTGACTGGCGGCTGCGCCTCCCCCTTGTTCTCAGGCGCAAGGCACCTAAGTGCTCTGCGACACTGTGACAATCTACCTATGACTCTGGGAATTTCTGAAGTACAGTAAGTCTTGTAGTATATGACTATTCTCCCCTCCTGTGACAGGCATTAAGGACAGTTAAGCTCAGTGGCACTTCTGTGACCTGGTGAACTTTGGTGCATGGGGCAGCATCAGTAGCTGTATTGCTGGTAGCGGTCAGGCCAGCACTGCAGTGGCTATTGTTTTTGTCTTCCTGTAACTCCATACCCAGGGCTGGTGCCCCAGTCACTCCCCTTTTGCTATGATGCTGATTAAGCACTGTTGTACTCTCAACCAGAAAACAGAAGCAGAGGAATTGAAAACTCTCCTTTTGCCCCCTCATCTCCAACTTCTCTTGTCTCCCTGTGTTCAGAAGCATTTAACCTTCACCCTATTCTTTCTGCTCCACTTCCTTTTTTTCTCGTCTTCTCTCTGTCATCCTTTTTCATGGAGGGAAAAGAGAAAAGGTAGGCAGATGAGGAGAAACAAAATAAGGGAAGAAGAGCTTCAGCTCTGAACTTTTAGCTTTCCTCCCTTGTAACACCTTCATGTGCAATTGGCACCCTATTAGGGTACTGCGTACCCTAATTACACAGATTCACAAGATTGTTATGCAGAGAATTATTTGTCTTGCAATTTTGTCTTACTTTGTTTCAAAGTAAGACCGTTAGGGTTAGAAAGATAAGCATTTGTGGCTTCATAACTCATAGCAGGGGATGGCAAAATCTGGCCCATGTGCTGAAGCTAGCTGAACAGGAGATTTTATCTGCCTGTGGCAGGTCCCTCAGCCCTACCCAGCCCAGGTGTGGGCACCAGCCTGGGCCCTAGTGCAGCCAGTCCCACCGCCCCTTGGCATACAGTGAGGCTGAGGTGGCACCAGAGCTAAAATCCTCTTCCCAGCAGCCCTGGCATCGGTGGCTCCTTGCTGCCGCAGCCAGTATGATGCGGCTGCTGAATCTGGCCGTGCTCCCCAAGCACCAGGCCTGTCAACCCTGCACCCACTGCCAGGGGTGCTGGGTAAAGCATGCAGGCAGGTGGGATCTCTATGAAGACCAGCCCAGAACCCACTCAAATAAAAAGACAAAGATTTTTTTCCTCAATCAGCATGGGGGAAAAAAGCCCCTCTTCTTACATTCACATACAAGAAAACCTTACTAAATACATTGGGTGTCATTAAACTGCTGGCAAAAGCAGCATATACTTAATAATAGAAACCAGTTATAAATTTGATTAAATGTAGCCAACACTGAGCATGATTATAAAACATTATGGCCCATATTGGACAAACATGTGGATGGGAATCTAGCACAAGAATAAATTAGTGCATCCCACCTGAATAAGATGCATAGTAGTACCCACTAAGTGCAGTCCCTCTCAGTTCCAACTCTTTTCCAAGTTATGGTGAGCCACTACACTGCAAATATTTCAACTTGCTTTTCACTCCCACAACTGAGCTGCGCCTTTCTTTCCCATTTCTAATGATTCCTGTTTCTTCACTAGCCTTGAATGTATGGCAAACATCACGAAATGAGACTCCAAACAGTTCAGCCAGAATCACCCTTGTTACCTCATCTTTCAGCCTCTTGTATATGATGTGTGTGGCCCTGTCCTCCATAAGATGAAGCCAGGCCAGGTTGCTGTGTGCCTCATCTGCATATAAATTTTGGAGGGTCCCAGGACTCATGACTAAAACACCCAGTTTCAGTTTTGATTGGGGGGTGCTAATCAGCCCCCCATTTGTTGGAGGGTGGTATTTGAAGTACACATACATATTTAATAGTTCTGAGGTATAGGGTCACCGTGTTTTGAAACTATTGACTCTGGTGGGACTCAGCCCAGTTAACTATATGGTAAATCAGGAACCTTTTGGCTTTGGACTAATGCCATGCATAGTTTATATTACATGTAAGTAGGCACAAAATTGTTGCTTAAAAGTATGTTTATGGAGTGCCTGTAGTAAAACAATAGTGCAGGGTCACATTAATCATATGTAACATGCTGAGAGAGGTGGCAGCAGATGGATTCTAGATGAACTGTTTGGGGCCCCGTTGGGTAATGTTTTCCAAACTTTTAAGGCAGGTGAAGAAACAAGAATCATTGGAAATGAAGAAGGAAAGGCGCATGTCAGCTGTAGCAGTGAAGAGAAAGTAAAAATGTATTCATTGTAGTGGCTCACCATGACTTGAAAGAGATTTGGCATTGAGTGAGATTGAGCTTAATGAGCTCTACAGTATGCAGTATGCTGAATACTGAATACAGTATTCAGGCACGCTGTGCTAACCTATCCTTGTGGTGGGTTCCTGTTGGTATGTTTGCTCAATATGGGCCATATGTTTTTTAGTTATGCTTAGTGTTGGCTGCATTTAATCAGTTTCATAGTTAGTTTCCATTTCTGAGTACGTGCTGCTTTTGGCAGAGTTTAGTGATGGACAGTATATTTAATGAGTTTTCTTTGTATGCAAATGTAAGACAAGGGACTTTTTCCCCTATGCTGATTGCGGGGGCGGGAACCTTGTCATGTATCTGGGTAAATTCAGTAATAAAGCAATGTGTTCAGTAGCCCTGGTGGTAGCCCATCACTATTCTGTTAGCTTTCCTTCACATTTTATACAGGACTAAATCATAAAAGAATTCACATTTATTAAATAAATTAAAGTTTGCAAAACTTGAACTTTTAACATCAGCTTACAACATCAAAAATTATTTTTATTTTCTAGACCCGGAACCAAATCAGTGAATGAGAAGAATACGGTATGGTAAAACAGTTTTCTAAATAAAAAATACCAAGTTAAATGAAATGCTTACGTACTACCATAAATAAGCATGGGGTTTCACCAGAGGTGCTAATTGCTTTTTGGACTGTGAAAAGTTTAGTTTTTCACACTTGAAACTAAACATACGGAAAATAGTTAAGAGAATGGACAGGAATGCTTGTTTTTGTGATAACGGTCAGAAATAAATTCTTTTTTTACTTCATAAAAATATATAATGTTTGTAGATTACATCCAGGGATGTTGCAGATGATTTAGATGATTTAACTCAATCTTCTGACACGCCTACTGAGGACCTAGAGTTGCCTACTACAACCTACAAAGAGGCAATGTTGCTGATAGAACAGCTTACTGTGGACAGTAAAGGTAAAGAAAAATCTGATCTTTATAGCAATCAGGCACAATGTCAATTTGAGTTGTCTGGAAAATTCAAATTTTTTTATTAGTTTGTTTTGGAAATATCATTGTAGATTCAACCAAACTAGGTTTCCAAATGCTAAGTATTCTAAATTTTTACTTTGTCCTTGGAGTTGTCATCTCCTTAAGCTTAAAAGCTATAGTGGTCTGAAGCATTGATTCAAATTGTAAGGCAGGGTGAGATTCTCACCCATATTCTGTTTCCTGTACACTGGAAAAAGGTGCTTCGAAAGCTCTAAATTAAACTAACTGGAGAGGAACTTCCTCTGTTCAGGATCTGGGAAAGATTGCCTCGAAGCCATGTCTATACTGGTTCCCTGCTGAGCCTGGGCTTACCGCCAAAGAAAGAAAAGGCAACTATACACATGCAGTGAGGCGAGCTCATTTGACAAACTTTAGTTAAAGTGACCCCGCTGCCATTTTTTCAGTCTGGGGACACTGGTACATGTGATGCTCCAGGTGCTTTAATTAGAGCGGCTCTTGGAGCTGCTCTAATTAAAGCCCAACCCCTGGAAAACCCCTAAAAGAACTGCTTTCAGTTAGGCTATATATGTTGTTAGATTGTCTGAGAACTCAAGATTGCTTTTAGCTGTATGTTGGACCAACATGTCTCTTAACTATACAGTTAGCCTAATAAAAGATATTGCCAAAGAAATGTTACTTCTTAGCCATATGTCCAGTTAAATTGTCAGACTTAGTTGTGCAGTGTGTGGGAGTGAGTGAGCTGGGCTTGTTGTGTTGGCAGTTGTCACAGGCTCAGCAGGGAGACTATAGAAATATGGCTTTAGAAGTACATCACAACTGTCGATCTGTATTCTGTAGACCCTGGCTAAAGCACAGCAAGATGTTTTCTTTTATTAAAAATATAAGCCATCTTTACACACACACATGCGTGCGCGCGCGCGCGCACACACACACACATTTTCAAACATTATTTTTGTCTATATGTAGGAGTAATCTTGATCATATGTTTGAAAGTGAACTAAAATAAGGTATTAACATTGCTTTTAATGTAAATAATGATCCATATACCAGAAATTGAAGTATTTGGAAATGGAAATGAAAGAACTTTCTGTTGCTTTTTTTTTTCTTTTTTTTTTACTAACTGAAAGCTGCACATATTTTTGTCTTCCCAAATAGATTCTGTTATTCTCTTGAAAATTCAGAACATACTTCATGGATACGAACGACTAATAGAACGTGAAAAGGGTCGCTATACCCAGCTCTTGGGAAAAGTAAGAAAACTTGAGAATGAAAACAAAGAACTACAGTTAATATTGGAAGAGACCAGAGAATTGAAATCCAGACTGGATCACCAGAAAATGGAATGGGAAAGCGATGTCAGCAGTCTCAAGTATGGAATTTTAAATTCTTGTAAACAGTTTAAAACACTGTTCTGTGAAAACACAAATATTGACAGGCATTGAAGGTGTGAGATGAGATGCCTTTATTTTTTAACCACATTCTTAACTCATTTGGGTGAGTTCTCAGCACCTAGCAGAATCAAATGAAAGGTTGGTCAGAAAACTTCTTACCTTGACAGTAGGTCCTTTGGGAAATTCTTTCCTACAAGAATTTTCAATTCAGAAGATTTTATTTCACTGGAAATTTCACTAGAATTTGATTTCACTAGAAGCCTGGAAAGTGAGTAAGGCCCCTGACAAACTTAGCATTTGTAGCACTACAATTGCAGCAGCACTTTGAAGTGCTATAGAAAAGTAGCTTTATGGACAGAGACGGACATACGTGTAGCTTTAGAGACAGACATCCCACCTCCCCTGCTGAGCCCTTCAACGAGGGTACAAAATCTGTATAAAGGCATGCAGCAGCATGGTCTTCAGTTAGGGGGCACAATAAGGGATTGCTCAGCCTTGTAACTGACCAAAGATGAACAGCCTCATAGGGATTACTACTCTCTAGCCCCTAATGACAACTCAGGTGGCTCTCATCAACTGTCCACCTTACTCTCCCTTCCACCTCTCTAGAAGTAGGGTATGGGAGAGAGGAAAACGCTGTGGGGTGCCAGGGGGACCACAAGATTCCCTGTCCATGTCTAATGTGTAGCACTACTAAATGCAAGTTGCAGTTTCATCCAACAACATTTTTGTAACACGTTTGGTATTTTTGTAGTGCTACAGGGGGTACACATGTCTGTGTGACTTTTTATAGTGCTATAAAAGTGTTTGTAGTGCTACAGTATATTGTATTCAACCGGGACATGAGGGACTTATTTGTGAGATAAAGTAAGGAGGAATGGAGTAAAACATAACAGCTGTTCTTCTCTCTCTTGATTTGACCATCTTGCTCAATTTATATTTCACACCCCACATGACCCTTTCCTTCTTGGTTAGTATACTAGGAACTCGCCCTTCTCCTCTTTGCCTAAGTTAACCATTGAATTTATTACCAACTAACCATAAATGATCCAGTGCACAGCTTTACATGAAAGGTGTGTGTGGTGATATGCTTTTGCTGAGTCTCACAACAGTTGTTCAAGACTAAGTTGTGTTTTCAGTTTCAGAAAAATTCTCATTTATAAAAATTGGTCATATTAATATTATTTGTATATGGGTGCATGTACACGTTGTCTTATAGAGAACAGAAAATGACAAGTTCTGTACCCCAAATAAATGATTATTTAATATAGTTTTAACAAGAGATGGCAGCAAAGGAACATGGAGAATATAACAGTGGAAGATCGTGAGCTCTGGTCTTTGCAATTTTATTTCCTTCTGTTTGCATATAGGTTACTAAGAATTGTGTTTGGTATCCAGAATGAAGTCCTAATGAGGACTCATATGTTACACATGAGGAAGAGAAATTAAATAAGGAAAGTCAAGTTTTAAGTTTCAGCAGACCAGTGTCCCTGGAATAGATCTGAATGGAGTTTTTAGTTGTTGCTTACAATAAATAGGATGGCTTTTAAAGTAGATGCGCTGTATATATGATGAATTCAAGTTTGAAATGTTGCTTTGATTTGATACCAAAATTTAGTAGTTTTTTGTTTTCCGTTAACAAAATCCTTTACTATTGTTTATTTTAATGACAAATACTTTAATATCTATTTTACATGAAATAATAAAGACATGAATATCAGTGTTGCATTCATGAGAATTAGGGGTGCACTGATAGAGATTTTGGGGGCCGATACCAATTGTCAATTTTTAAGGAGGTATATCGGCTGATACTGGTCCGATTTCTGATACAGCTGTTAAGTCTGTTGTGGTAGATGGTGAGGGGGAAGGGATGGGGCATGGGGGGTAGATCAAGGCCTCCATAGTGAGGGAGTGGAGCTGGGGCAGGGACAAGTGCTGCCCTGCCAAGGGGGGGCAGGGCATGGGACAGAGCCACATCTCATCTGGGGGCATGGGGCGAGGGTGGCTCCTGCCTCTGGGTGCACCCTGGGAGGGCATGGGGGGGGTGTGCCTGCAGATCTGGGCAGGGGGGGCTGGGGCCAGGGCTGCACTGGGCTCTTACCAGTGGGGACTGGGCTGAGCTGGGCTGTGTTCAGGGTAGGTGGCAGCAATGCTGGGAGGGAGGTTATATGGGGGGGCTGCAGCCACCCCAAATTTTGCCGTAGCGCCTCCTAGCACCGCTCGCCCTGAGCACAACCTCGAGCGCAGCCCCCACACGTCAGGTAGAGCCTGGCACAGCCCTGGCCCCAGTCTGCAGTGGCAGCCCACCCCCCCGGCGCAGATCTGGGGGCACATGCCCCACACCCCGTGCCATCCCAGGGTGTGTGCAGTGGCGGGAGCCAACCCTGTGCCCTATGGACGAACTGCGGTTCCATCCCGCGCCCCGCCCCGGCTGGGCAGCTCCTGCCCATGCCCCACTCCCTCCCTCATTTCAGGGGCCTTGATCTGCCTCCCATACTGCTTCCCTTCCTCCTCCCCTTCTACCAGACCAGGTTTACCAGCTGCATGTAGCTCTCCATGCTGCCAGGCTGTGCTCCTTGCTGCCCGTGTGCTATGCTTAGGCTGGGCGCACACATGGGCATTTATCAGCCAAATTATTGGCCACATCAAGCCAATTTCTGATACAATCAATTTTCTTTATATCGGTGCTGATCTGATATTGGACCAATGTACTGGTGCCCCTCTAATGAGACTCTGTCCTTTAGCAGAGCTACAGTAAGAATTGCAAGGAAACTTTTATCTTTGTAGTTCAGATTTGTTTCACATTGTAGTGTTTTTGGCATATGATATTTTATTCTTCTATAAAGTTAAGAGTTGAAATAGTGAAGAGTCTGATATTTTTCCTGTCACATATCATTTTTTTAAAACTAAATGGTTATCAAACACAGGAATGATTTATCTTCCCAACATGAAAATGTAGACATAGACTCTAAATTGACTTTTTTTTGTTATGCTTCTGTTTGTTCCTGATTAGATTTAAGTATTCGGGGAAAAAATATCTAAACTCTCCATAAAGCCTCTGCTTCTATTAACATAAAAATTTGATTTATGTTGTACTTCCAGGCTGTCACATTTTTCATCATATTAAAGTTAGAGCTTTGCTAAGACCTAACAAGACTTTTCTAAAGTTTATTTGAGATGCCTTCATTCTTCTTTGGATATCAGGTGTTGGCTACAGCTGAGGCTTGGAACTCTGACTGGGGTCAAAGGAACATTGACTCTAGCCAGTGCTCCTGCTGGGACTTAAACCTGGAGATTCCCGGGTAAAGGGCTTTTAGATCAATTACTATGTTTGGGGTCAGGAAGTAATTTTACTCCATGGTCATATTGGTATGGATTGGAAAGGTTGTTGCCTTCCTCTGCACCAGGGGGAATAGCCCTCTTCCTGGGATCTCTTGACCATATATTAGCAAACTTTACAGAAGCAGGACATTGGCCATCATGGTCCCTCTGCTTTACTTTTGGCAGGTTAGTGTGTTATGTTGTCACGTCTTGTGTTAGGATTGACTGTAGTTTTGCTAAGAGGTTAGACAGTGGATTTGTATAGGATTGTTTGGCTAGGGATAATCCTGCTTCAGGCAGGTGATTGTACCAGATCAGTGGTTTTCAACCTTTTTTGTACCAGGACTCATTTGTAAACATTAATGGCCAGTCCCAACAAAATGACCCCCGCTCCCAACCCACTGCCCCCTGCACCCAGACCCGAGCCCTCACCCAGTGTGTAGGGCCAGGGGGTGGGTATGTGGGGCACAGGGAGCCCCAAGCAGCCCCTTGCAAACTGGAACTTTTTTCCATGTTTTTCTTCTTTAAAGTGGAATCCTTTTTTAAAGTTTGCTGGTCCATTTTTAAAGTTTGTTCGTGACCCTTTCATATATTCTTGCAGCCCACTTTTGGGGGCAACCCATGGGTTGAGAAACACTGGACTAGACTAGGACCTATGGAAGTCCTCCAGCCCTACTTCTTTCTGTTTCTACATGTATCAAAATAACTGCATGGAAAAATGTATTCTGCTTACTATTTACAAGATGTAATATCAGCCTACTACTACAAAGACCATATTTAAAACTGGTTAGTTTTGCCTTAAATAACAGCATTACTTTCCTAGTAATATTAATTTATAATTACTGTAAATATGTAAGTCATTATGTATTCCACATAGAGGGATATCTGGGGTTATGAAGCAATCTAATATTCATGTATTTCAATTTGATAGAACCTATCTTCTGCTAGATTGGTCTATCAGTGTGGATTTTTGCTCAGTCAGTGTCTGGACTTCCATTTTTTGTCCAGCTGAATTACTCTGCTTCAAATTGTTTTGGTCTGTATTGCTAATTTGGTATTCTGGATAATTTAGCTTTTTAGAAGAACAGAAGCATTGAGGAGGGAAGTTAGTATCCACCTCTACTGTAATCTCCATAGAAAAGATCATGTCAAGTCCACATCCAGGGGGTTTGGCCCAAAGTATAAGATATAGCACCTGCTACCCTGAAGGTATTCAAAGTATAGCTCCTTCTATTTTGGTGATGGCTTGCATAAATAATTGGAATATATATTTTTATAAGTCTGGAATAAAAATTGTTTTTGTTGCATAAAGTTTAAAATACTTGCACATCTGTAATAAAATGAACTTAGAATTTTAGAATTAATTTTTTAAAATCTGGTTCAGAGTCACAGTATAAGGTGGCAGAATTTTAAAATTGTGATTGTCTGTTAATTCTGAAAAGCTGCATAATATGGTATATTCATCTTTGTCAACTTTTTAACAGGCTGAAATATCAGTAGGTAAAATTCCTGCTAGGTGCATGTATGAATTTTGCTTTTAACGTAATGTTAAATTCCAGGTTTACTCTGAAACAAGAAGAAGAAAAGAGGATGAGTTCAGAAATTCTATATGAAAAAAACAGAGAACAGCTAAGAAAGAAAGAGGATCAATACTGTAAAGAGATGGAGGAGAAACAACAACTTGAGCTAACCCTGAGGGGTCTAGAAATGGAGTTAAGAACGATGAGAAATCACCTTAAACAGGTTAAGTAGACTAAGTTCCAGAATACAAAATTCAGCACTGTTTTCATATTTGTTTGTATTATGAGCTTTAATTCAGATGTGGCATTCCAATACTTTTAAACAATGTACATTTTAAGAAATTGTAGCTGAACGTTTATATTGGCCGAATATTGTCCTAAATGTTTGCAGGCAAAATTCTCGCTTTCAAGAGCTGGCTCTGAAGAGTTCTTCATTTAGGAGGGCATGCATCTGCCATATGTGTTGCTTTTACAAAGATCTACCCACCTTATTCTTCTGTCTGTTTCTATTTTTTTCAGACTGCTTACATTACTTGCTGAAAAGTCATAAAAGGGTCTGTCAGTCCCAGTGCCCATCAGTTTTTCTTATCTGCTCAGACCCCCACTGCTTTTCAGATGGTATTGTTTTTTGTGGCACCAAGGCATGTTTAAGATTGTCAGTCTTCTGGGGGCTTTATGTTCTGAGAACTCAATTTTCTGAGTCATTAAGTGAAGATAAAATTCTAATCGTTGTTCTGTGTCTGTTTTTGACAGAAATACAGTATAACCTCATAAATCCAGGTTTTTAAAAATCCGGAATGTTCAGAAATCCGGCATTTCGGTGGCCGGTCCTGGAGTAGCAGCTATCAGTTCTAGAGCCGCAGCCACATGTGGAGCAGTGGTGCGGAGTGGTGGATGTGGTGGCAGCTGCTGTGTGCGAGCTTCCCTCTCTGCCGCTGCCCCCCCCTCCCCCCTGCTCTACACACATTACTTACGTTTTAGAAATTCGGCATTTTCAAATATCCAGCAGGTGCTCGGTTCTGACCATGCTGGATTTATGAGGTTATACTGTACACTTTTGATGTCAGCTACCAGTACAAGGGAGATTTAGAATGTAGATACATCTTTATTCCTAGCTTTTCCACACTTTCATTTGCCCATGATTAATTGATTACATATGTTTACATTATAATATTAAGTAGAACAACATTATTAGTACACTAGTTTTCTAATTTTACTTTTAGTTTTCCATATATGCCTGTTTGACTTCAAATCTAAGAATTGTTAGTTGCTGGCGAATTTTGCCTTCCTTCTTTAAGAACATCAAGAAATTAAGGTTTTTGACATATTCTAATTTCCATAAGACCCTCGCCTTTTATCTCCCTGGTATTTTGAGTTCAATATTTTGTTCTAGTGTTCAGAATAGAAACTGTTTAACAATCTGGAAAAAGCCATACTTTGATTTCAGAAATATTTGATCAGTCCAGGTGTTACACTGCTGAAAAGTAGATATCCTTAGTATTCAGTGTTAAGAATTATTTTTTTATTTCTATGTGGACTGTAGCCAGGAGAGAAATAGTAGAATGAAGAAAGTAAGGCCTTGTCAGGAGCCATTCTATTCTTTTACCGGCCCTTCACTTAGAGGCTGTGTTCTGTCTAATGTTTTATGCAGAGAGCATGCACCTGGCAACACTTAAAGCAGTTTTCCTTCCCCTTTGTCATTTTCTGTTCCTCCTGTGAGGATGCAATCACATATAAGAAGTATGTATTTTCCAACTGTCTACATGTGATCTTGTGGATCTTTTCTCTTGACCTATCTGGGACCTTTAATGTTGAAAGATATTTAACATTAAGGCCTATTTAATATTGTGCATTCTTAAGTTCACCCTTCACATCATCTTATACTAGGGCTGTGTGAAATTTTGACAACTGTTTCGTTTCGGAGCTGTTTCGATGCATTTCGAGCTCAAAACAGTGAAATCAAAATGAAACAAAAGGCTTTGAAACAGCTTCAGGATGAAATAAGGGCACTCAAAATGTTTAAAAAGTTTTGAAACATTCTGAGTTTTGAAGTAGCCCAGTAGTGGGAGGTAGGGGAGAGCCAGGGCTGTGGTCCACCTCCCACCTCCAGGCTGAGCTCTGTGGGGCTGGCAGAGCCGATCGGAGCGCAGCCCTGGCTCTGCCCTGCCTCCTGCCACCGGGCTGCCCTCCAAGTGGCTCTGCCAGCCCCACGGAGCTCAGCCCGGTGGCGGAGCAGCTCAGAGCACAGCCCTGGCCAAGTGGCTTTTCCCTGCCTCCTGCCGCTGAGCTGAGCTCCGTGGGGCTGGCGGAGCTGATCAGAGTGCAGCCCTGGCTCTCCCCCGCCTCCTGCTACTGGGCTGCTCTCTGAGCGGCTCCACCAGCCCCATGAAGCTCAGCCCGGCAGTGGGAGACAGGGGAGAGCCACTGGCCAGGCTGAGCTCCATGGTGCTGAGCTCCATGGGGCTGGTGAACCTGCTCAGAGTGCAACCCAACGGCGGGAGGAAGGGAGAGCCAGGGCTTCACTCTGACCAGCTCCGCCAGCCCCACGGAGCTCAGCCTGCCCTCTCAACCTGGCCTCCCCCTGTCCTCACTGCTGGACTGGCAGCACCAGTCTTCCCAGTGCTGGGCGCAGGCTGCACCCAGCACTGGTCTGAGGTGGCAGCAGCAGCCTTCTGTCATCCTGAGCACAGATCTGGGGGCCTGCACCCCTGGGAGGAGTCCAGCAGAGCCCCACAGCCCTCCCGTTGGTGTAGGCCTCCAGATCTGCACGTGGGATGACAGGAGGCTGTCACTGCTGCCTGGTACGAGTGGCAGCAGCAGTCTTCCTAGGCAGGCTGCACCCAGCACTGGTCCTAGTCAGCGTGGCAGTCATTCTGAGCAGATCCAGGGGCCCACACCCGCAGGAGGAGTCCGGCACAACCCCACAGTCCTCCCGGAGGTGCGGGCCCCCAGATGTGTGCACGGGATGACAGGAGGCTGCCACTGCCGGAAAGTCACACGAGTTTTGCTTGTCAGCACCTTGAGGTGCAGTTACCCAGAAACCCCTGCACATATCTCCTTGAAAATTGGTAGGCTTCATGCCCTCAGAAGGGGCTACTGTCCCTGCAATTTTCATCCAAATCAGCCAGGAAATGACCAAGTCATAGGCATTTTCATGATTTCCCATTATAGCCTATGGGCTAAATGTTGAAATGTGTTGAAACAGCGAAACAGTTGTGATGAAACAAAATGGAACAGTGCTTTGAAAAGAAACGAAACGAAACTACTAAATGAAACACTGTCCCTTCAAAATGGTGAAACGGAAGTCAAAATAAAACAGTGCTGTTTTGCACAGCCCTTTCTTATACTCAGAACACAATAGCAAGTCCCCATCATGATGTTAGACCTTATTAGTGCAAAGAAATTTGCTGTGTGGTCTTCTGGGCATTCATTGATTCTTTCACATAAGTGCTGAAATGGCTGCCAATTACTGTATGAAGTAGGAGCCAATACTGAGTGGGCGCGTCTACACATTCATTAATGTGCTTTTAGTAATGTGCATTAAATTTAGTACTTCCAGGTGCCTGTACACAATCGTGGAGCCTGCTGCAACACGCTGTAATTACAACATATTGGAGTGGACTCGATGAATTGAGTCTGCTGGAATCTGGTAATTACTGCATTCCAGGAGCCTCTTGCGTCTCGTCTTGTGTATCAGTGTTCCCGTGCTTCCAAATGGCTTTGGGGCACTTGAATTAAAGCTTGTTTGATGAGCTGTAGTTCAAGCACCCCTGCCACCATTTTGAAGCACAGGGCCGCTGATACATGAGATGCTGTGGCGCTTTAATTAAAGCAGCTCTCAGAGCTGCTTTAATTAAAACACCACCCTTCCCACCCCCAGAGCACGTGTAAAAGTGGCTTCCATTGTGAAGTACTAGAAAAAGGCACACTAGCCTATTTTAGTGCACCTTAGTGAAAGAGCACAGTTTTTGTGATGCTTTAATGCGCATTAAAATAAGTTCATGCACATTAAGGCATACTTGTAGATGTGTCCAGTTAGTCCAAACTGTTTTGACCTATTGAATACAAATGTGGATGACACGAATATGTCATAGAGTCATCGAAAAGTAGGGCTGGAAGGGATCTCCAAAGGTCATCTAGTCCTACCCCTCTGCCTGAATTAGGCTCCAAACCATCCTACACGATCCATAATCTAAACTCTTCATAAAACTACTGTCAATCCTGACGCAACACAGACCTGACACAGGTAAAGCAGGGGAACCATGGCAGCCAATGTCCTGCTTCTATGAAATGTTGTCAATATATGCTCAAGAGATCCCAGGGTGAGGGCCACACCCCCTGCTACAAAGGAAGCTAAATCCTCCCGCAGTCTGTACTAATTTGACTATGGGGTAAAATTCCATCCTGACACCAAATATGGTGATCAGTTTGACTCTGACCCTGTAGCCAGGGGCCCCACTAGCTATGGTCCCAGCCGGAGCATTGGCTCACCCCAGAAAATGTTTCAAAATAAAATAGTCTGGTTGTCCTTCCACTAGTGCCCACACTGCACGATTAGTCTTTTGAAATCTCCTTGAACCTATTGCTTCAGAAACTGTGTGATAAACTTCTAAAGGCCATTGAACCTGAAATGCTTTTTAAGCAGTTATTAAAATTACATCTCTTCAGAACATAGATTAGCATGGCTAATATGCTGGTGCTTGAGATGGCAAAGTCAGTGGAACTTACATATTTTCAAAAATTTTACTTGTTGTGTGTTACTGGTCTTGCTGTTGTAAATTACTTGTAAGATTGGTGAATCAGATCTGTCCCTTTTATTAAAAATTACAGAATAAACAATTTGATGAAGACTTGTGTTCAATACAAGTATATATAGCCCTGATTCAGCAAAGTTCATGGATTCACTTTAAACTCCGTTCCTGTTAATCACAGTTTAACCACTGTGCTAAACTTTACATTCCGTTGAAGTCAAGGTGTTCCCAGTTTCCAAAATTAATAACTTAGTTAAATACCTCTATACAAAACACTGTAGTGATATATTTCAGCTGTGCCTGAATCAGGACTCTGAAATTACAATATTTGTGCATTTTCAGCTTTATTGGGGAGTTTCAAGTGCACCGCATCCATTTTCAAATTTATGCTCACAGTTTTGGAACGTGGTATTTAAGTTTCATAGTTTCTAGGGTTGGAAGGGACCTGAGCAGATCATCTAGTCCGACCCCCTGCCATGGCAGGAAAGAGTACTGGGCTCAAACGACCCCAGCAAGGTGTTCATCTAACCTCCTCTTAAAAACCCCCAGGGTAGGAGCCTGCACCACTTCTCTTGGAAGTTGGTTCCAGACCCTAGCCGCCCTGACCGTGAAGTAGTGCCTCCTGATATCTAACCTAAACCTACCCTCTGCCAGCTTGTGACCGTTATTCCTGGTCACTCCTGGCGGAGCTCAGGGGAACAGTGACTCCCCCAGTGCCTGCTGATCTCCCCTGACTAGTTTATAACAGGCCACTAGATCCCCCCTCAGCCTTCTCTTTTGGAGGCTGAACAGGTTCAGGTCCCGTAGCCTCTCGTCATAGGGCCTGCCCTGCTGTCACCTGATCATGTGAGTGGCCCTCCTCTGGACCCTCTCCATGCTGTCCACATCCCTCTTGAAGTGTGGCACCCAGAACTGGACGCAGTACTCCAGCTGCCTGTATTTGCTTAAAATGTGCATTTTTGTTCTTTTTGAAGATGCATTAGCAATAAAGATGTGTTTGTAATGTAACTTTACCATTAAAATAGACTATTTCAAAAGAATATTAAATCCTATCTTTGCAACGTATATTTGTTTTTTAAACATGTATATAGAACAAAAATATCAAAAAACTTTTGCTCCGGCAAATGTGCAGAACGTGTTTTATATTAATGAGGAGATGTGATACTAAGGGAACTTATCTGACGCATTTTTTCCAATATTGAAATATATAAAATGTTTTTGATTTAGGTTGAAGAAGAACGTAATGAAACACAGAGACAGCTCTCTCAAGAAAAAAGTGCCAGAGCTCTTCAAGAAGGTATTTTAAACAACCACCTTTGGAGGCAGAAGGAAATAGAAGAGGAAACTAGAATAACTATAGCTAAGAGTGCAGAAGTAAGTGGTTTTTTGTTCACTTCAAGTAAAATTACACTATATTTATAGTGGTGTAAGAGTGGTTATTCTGGCTGTGATGATACAGAAATTATAAGAGAGGCAAGGATTTCTTAAGGTAATATCTCTTATTGGACCAGCTATGTGGCTGGATTGACAGGCTTTTGAATGCAGGACATTTTTCCTCAGGACTATATTTATAATAAGGGTAAACAGAAGGGTTTGGAGTAGTTTTTGTTTGTTTGTTTTCACTTGTGGCATTGACTTTAAATGCCAAAATATTTTCCAGAGTGTTTTGTTTATGAAAACGGTATAGATTTGTACACCTTTTTTCCTTTTCACTTTCAGCTTTAAAATCAAGGATTTGATAGATGTTGCTTTGTAAAACATAATAAAGTGAACTTATTTTGTAATGTAAGTGACACTTTGTCATCAAATTCTTCAGTTGTCTGCTTGAACATTTTTGTAAGAAGAAATTGTTTTCTTATGTTTTAATTGCTTTTAACTTGGGAGTGACAAGGAAATTAAGCTGAAATATTGAGCTGATATCTTTTCTGACTAAAGTACTGTCAGCATACTATTTGAGGTTCCTGCTGGTATTGAGGTTACACAAAGTATCCATCAGGCTCACAGTGAAAAGTTTGTTTGGCACTAATACAATAATTTTTGGGTGATTGCATGGTTTCTACTACTTTTTGTGCAGGAGGCAACAAATCCTATTAAATATAGATGACATATAAACTCATCCTGAAAAAAATACGCTCTGGTCTATTACTGCATCATGTGAAAGTCTGGTAATTGAGGAATTCTTTGCCATGTAGTCCAAAATGCTCTGTACCATGGATAAATATTCCTGCACCAAACAGAAGAAAATATTCAAGTGGAAAGTGTATAAGGGGCTTCCTGCTATCCCTGCACTGTAGCATCCTCATGCCCCAGCCAGCCTCTGCAGTATGTTGAGCCAAGGCGGAGCAGCTCTGGGTTGGCAGTCTGACCCTTTAGGCCCCATCTAGCCAGTATTGCGCCGTCTGAGCTCTACATGCTGTGATCTCAGGCTCCAATGTAAATGCTGTGTCCAGAAGCAATAAACTCTGGCCCGAACAGCGCTGGAGTTTATTAGATTATTTATTACAGTAATAGCACATGTAAATGCACCTGAGGTTACATACTGAAAGTTCCAAATTTGGGAGGAAAAGGAAATGAAAAAAGAACATTTTACACAAATAGCTAATGTTCAAAATTTAAAGGAAGTATGTTCAAATAGAAATAATCAAAGAAAAGAAAAACAATAAGTAAAGATAAGTTGGAACACAGAACTAAAGAAATGGGATATACAGGATTGTTCCTAATTCTGCCAATGGGATAGCAACCATAAAGTACACTTTTAAAAAAGTTTTTAATCCTTAAATTGTTACTTTTAAAAAAGAAGCCATGAATTAGATTTACTGTTTTGGTTGGAATGACATTTTATAGTTCTGAAATATGTATATATTGGAAGATAACATGAGTTCAAAGTCTTTTCAGCAACTTTGACTGTAGTTTATAGTTAAGCTGTTTCATAAGTCATCCTTGATTATTAAAAATATCAAAATGCTTTTTCATGTGTTAAGTATTACATATATATTCATTATTCATCCTCAACATCCTGGTTTTGTGTTCTCAATTACTCAGCTACCTGATAATCATGACAGAGAAAAGGATTTGTTACACAAAAATCAGATACTGCAAGATGAAATTGCTATTCTAAGAATAGAACTTGATCGGATAAGAATTCGGCACCAGGAGGAAGAAACTAAATATTTGGAAGAAAATGAAGCCTTGAAAGAAAAAAATGAAGATCTTAAAAAGGAACTAAAACTAAATGAGGAAGCTCTAACACAGACGGTTTTTCAGTACAATGGGCAGTTGAATGTATTAAAGACAGAATCTACAATGCTAACCTCCAAAATAGAGCAGACAAAAGAAAACAAAGACAGGCTGGAAATAGAGCTTGAATCATTTCGTTCTCGTTTGAACTCTGCTGTTCAAGAACTTGAACGTTGTCAGGCATCAAAAAGCGATGTTGAAAGGACATTGCAAAGAGAGCGTGACGAGTGGCTTCGTTTACAAGACAAGCTTAGTCATGACCTCTCAAATCTACGAGAGACCAACAATAGCTTGTCTCAGAAGCTTAGTAAGGCTGAAACCAAAATTAATGGTTTAGAAAATGAACTTCATCAAGTAATGCAAACTCTTAGAGAAAAAACCTTGCTTTTAGAGAGCACTCAAAGAGAACTAAACCAGGCACAGTGTCAGGCAAAGGAACATGACCATGCTCGACAAATGGATAAGGATCAAATAAACAAGTTTAGTATAAAACAGGAATCAATGCAAGAACGATTGGCTCAGCTCCAAAGTGAAAACCTTTTACTCCGGCAGCAACTGGAAGATATGCAAAATAAAGGGATTATTAAAGAGAAAGTAGTGAGTGATGTCCAAGACAGATTTAATGATATTTTCAATAAGCTTAGAGCTGATACAGAAAAACAAGTCCATATGGTAGAAGAAAGAAATAAGGAATTAATCACCAAATGCAATACTTTAAGAGATCAAGTCTTTAAATATGAAACTGAGAAAGTTGAAAGAGAGGTAAGCATAAAATTTTCTGAAAAATATTTGAGCTTTATTCACTAAAGTTCCTGTGTTGTTTTGAGCTATAATAATTGGGAAAAGTAATTATGCTAGCTTATTTACACAGAAATATACAGTTATTTTTCTGTCCTGGAATAGGAGAAAGTTGTGACAAAGAGATCCATCTCTGGTTTCCTTTACCTCTTTATGCCACTCAGAAGATTTGAGCCATAACTCCCTAATGCAAACCTTTTCATCTGCAGTTCCTTTCAACTTTTTTCTTAGTGCTGTTTGTACATATTGAAATCAAAACTTATGAAGCAGTTAACTTTACATGTCTACTGGACAGTGAGAATACAAACTAGAATAGCATAGGGGAAACTACACAAGCAGAAGTTTAGGAGAGAGGAAATGGGAAACAAGTGAAAAAGAGGAGTATTAAAGAATATCTGTAAGCCATGGAGCAAGAAAAAAGAGGTTTAACACCAGGTATAGTAAACGAGGGTGTGAACTGAGTGGAAAGAACTAAGAGTAGTTTTAGGTTCGATCAATTGATGGTATGATAAAAAGAGGACAGAGGCTACTCCAATGCATGTAGTTACAGCACAGTACAGCAGATTTGACTAATCGAGTCTGCTGGAACGTGGTAATTACCATGCTCCAGCAGCCTCCCACATCTTGTGCAACAGCAATATTGAAAAATGGCAGCGGGCACACTGCTGCTATTTTGGGGGGACACTGATACATGAGACGCTGCAGAACTTCAGAGTGGCTCTTGGAGCCGCTCTAATGAAAGCACCGAACTCCTTCCCTCAGAGCACGTGTAAAAGTGCCCTCCATTATCAGGTACTAGAAAAAGGTGCATTAGCCTATTTCATGCACTTTAGTGAAAGCTCACGCTTTTTAGTGACTCTAATATGCATTAAAATAGGCTAATGTATATTAAAGTGCACATGTAGATGCACCCATTGACTACACTGGGTGAAGTGATCTGTTGCTATTACAGGGCTTCTCCAACATTACAGTCGCTTGCCATTTAATGCACTCCTAAATATATCAGTTGTACTTTTTTCTAGCTCTCAGGTCTTTATATCTTGATCTAGTCTTTTCATAATAATTTATATATACTTTGTCAATACTAACCTGAAGTTATTTCATTAGGGGATAGTAAGACAACTGCAGCAAGAACTTGCTGATGCTCTTAAAAAACAGTCAATGTCAGAAGCTTCACTGGAGGTTACAACACGTTATCGAAACGACTTGGAAGAGGACAAAATGCACTTGCAAAAAGAAATAGACAGGATTAAATCCAAGGTAAGCCAATGTTATACAAACTAATAGATCTGCAGTTTGGTTTGTTTTTTTCAAATAATGAAAGCCACAGAATGTTTTGATTATTTTAAGAATATTATTAAATAGAATTGGCTTCCTGTATTAGGTTAGATTACTTCATCATAAAGGGAAGGAATTGTGTAAAACTAAATGACATTTCTCTGTGTAGATTTTCATTTTACAGAATGCACAATATTTTGAAACATCAAAATCACAGTCAAAAGGCTAATTTCTATTGCAACTAGAATACTACAAATTTTCTTAACAATCATCTTGTGGTAAGCATGCCAATAAGATGTTAATGGTAAAAGGGAAGGAAATCATTTTTACCCCAGTTGTTGCTTTGTACTGACAGAAGTTGTGGTCATGCTAGAAACAGTATTTTTGAGCTCTGAAGGGACTTGTCTAAAGCTGTTTGGTTATAAAAGATCTCAGAGTACTTGGAGCCTTGAAGAAAGCAAAATTCAGTGTCCTAAGTAGTCTTCCAAAATTTACTATCCAAAACTAATTGGATAGTTTAATTGGGTTCCATCTTGTAAAATAAGTGACACTTCTGCATGTTGTAAGCTAGCATTAGTTATAGCTAAAAAATAATGTTCTCTCAGAGCTGTATTTTTCTTTTTTAAAACATTACAGAAGACCTGCTTTCCTACTTTGAGCAGAATTGGAGTAATATATTTTACTTGCAGCAGCAGCAGCTGCATTAAGGAGCTAAATATTTGAAACTTACAAGCTGCAAATACTGGCTTATGCATGAATTCAGGCAGTGAGAGTGTTTCACTATTCTCCTGTCTTAGTCATTGAAGACTGTACCATCATTCTCTCTGTCATTCAAACCTGTAACCTGGGTTTCATGTGCAACTTGAATTTTTCTGAAGGTCCTCAGATCCTGGCTGTGTGTTTTTTAAGAATGCATACCATTAAGATACCATCTTTCCTATTTATCTACAGAGATAAAACTCATCTAGACAGATACTGGTCATTTTGAGACTCAGTTGGTAGACCATCCTTTCTTTTTTTTCCCCCGCTCTGGTTTTGACAAATTCACTTTTGCCCTCAGAATGCTACTGCAACAATTATTTTTCTAGCCTGTTGCTTTGACTACATCATCCCTCTGTCGGCAGTGCTCCTCTGGCTCCCCATTCCCTACTACATCAAGCATAAATGATTTGTCATTATTTTCAAGGCCCCCCATGGCCCACATCTTTTCTCATTCTGTAGCAAGATGTTAACTGCTGCCTCTAGTTAGTCTTTGATGCCAGCTTTTATTGCCCACTTGTTAAAGTTTTGAATGGTTTTCCAGTCTTGGTTTGGACAACTTGCAGGGAATCGGTCTAGGAACTAAAGAAGCCAAAATGGAGGAAATTGCAGTAACATTCTAGGAAGGCAGTAACTAGAACATGGACAATGTTTAGCCATTCAGACAGAAATGTCTTAATTTTTTAAATTCCAGATAAAATAATCAACAATAGTTCAAAATCAAAAACAGTTCAACGATTTGTGAGAAATGTTAAATTTGGGACTTTTATTGCCTTTTTTTTTTTTTTTTACGAGAGAGGGAGTAAATTTAAAAGTTTGAAATGTTCATACTTAACTCTTTGAATTTTGATTTTGGTATTCAGCAGTGATTTATATATTTGTTATATATTTGCATTCTGAAAGTCGTGTAGTTATCATTTACATTTGTGTTTCTTTTTTGTTTGTTGTTTGGTTTGGTGTTTTGTTTTTGTTTTTACAGCTGCAAGAATCAGAAGAACAGTATATTCAATCTGAGCGACATGTTCATGATTTGAAAAATGCATTGGACAGTAAGGAACGGGAAGTGATTGCTTCTTCTCAGAAACTGGAAGACCTTTTAGTAGCATCGTCTGGAACAAGTAATGCTATAAAACAACTGGAAGAACATGTACAACGGTAAGAAAATAACTGACGTGTTGAAACTGTGTCTTATTTATTTATTATTTATTAGCTTTACATTATAAAGTGTCGTCTTATATCAATAATTATTTTAAAGCTTTCAAGTTTGTGCTGTCATAGATTTAGAGTTTGGCCCTGAAAAAGGATGTTGTCACATATTACAAAGTATATTTCCTTTTAAGACTTGAAATTGAAAATGCCAGATTGGAAGCTACAGCCAAACAGCAAACAATCAGAATTGAGGTACTTCAGAAAGACCTGCAGGAATCTGTCTCCGTAAGTCAATTATAGGTTTAACTTTCTCATATTTTTTATTGAAATTATGTAGTAAGTGTATGTTTACAAAAGAGCTTTAGGGAAATAATTTCCATATTCTATTGAACTGCACTTCTATGAGAATCTCAATTTAACGTATCCAAATATTTGATTTCTGACGATTTTCAGACGGTACTAAAAGCCAAATTATGGATTTGTCATTGTATATTAATACCAATATGCAATCCCATGGCCTAGGGACAGACATTGCACATAAACCAGTTTAAGTGATCAGAACCTGGTTTAAACCTGTAACAGAACACATTCAGTGCACATAAACCAGTTTGAAAATGGCTGAAACTGGTTTGAGATAAACTGGGTTGAACGTAGTATCAGACTTACCTGATTTGGGTCAAACTTGTTTATGCAAAGTCTGTCCCAGACCTCCTGCTGTTCTAAGTTAAATCAGTCCCCCAGCATCCTGGCATGCTCTCTGGGCTGGGCAGGGCTCTGCTCCACAGCAGGGCTGGTCCCTCCCCTCTGCTCCCTGGCCAGAGCTCCAGCAGACTTGCAGGCACAGGAGGTTCTGCTGGCTTCCCTGTGCCCCCCACCCCCTCACCAGTTGCTGGTTAAGAACCCTTCCTCCTCTCTGCCACAGCACGGACCATAGCCAGCATAAGGTATGCTAGCTAATGCTTTGTAAGGCTCCAGCAGAGACCGCAGACACAGGAGGGTCTGCCTGGCCTTACCCCTGCCGTACCCCCACCCTCCCCTCGCTGCTCAAGCAGAAAATCCTTCCCTCCCCCCATCTCCCACAACATGGATCCTAGGCATGTGGTAGGCTAGCTTAGGCAGAGAGGTGTCTGTGTGTATCTCTCTTCAATTTCACTAGGGCAGGCAGACAGAACAGTGACTGCTTAGGGCTGTTTGGAGCGAATCAACAGGTCAGCCAGTAAGCTGTTTAAGAAGTTTGAAGTAATGGAGAGAGGCATTTGTTTTGTTAATCAGGTGATAAAGACTGTTATCACTATCAGCTCTCAGCTGGCTTGCTTGCCTGTCCCTTTGCTGCAGACATTACGACAAAGCAGGGAGGGAGATTAAAAACTTCCATATCATCAACAGATGCATGCACTGCACCCCCCCCCTTGCCTCAGAGTTTTAACCCGGGCCTGGGGTCTGGCAACACTCCCACCCCTTGAGCCAGCAGCGGGACCGTGCAGGCCGACCTCTCTAATGAGTGTCCTGCGGGGGCCTGGCCACACTCCCCTCGGTCAGCTCCCTGCAGATGGGAAGGGAGGGCTGCTCTAGTGCCCTCCCCAGCTTTTAGTTTGAGCCACTGCAGGCATGTGCCTCAATTTCCTCCGTCCAGAGAAAATGTCTGTCCGGTTTCAAACCAGTTCAGCCTAGCCAGGTTAGACTAACCTGCAAAGACTGAATCAATTCAAGCTCAGGCTTTATGAATGTCTGTCCCTAACCTTATTGTTTAGTTGGTGTTCAAGATTTAAATCAGACTACATCTCAAACATTCACATATATATAAACTATGTATAATTTCAAAGCATATTTGCAACATGGTAACTAATGGACATTCTTTTGGATATTGTTGCTAAGCATTTCTCCTGTATTCTAATGCTAAATGACAAGCAGAAACCTGAATTGAATTGTTTACTTTGTATTATATTCCAGCTTTTCAGTTTTTAAAACTAAGAAGCACCAGATAACATCCTTCATTTGTGCTTTATTTTAAAAGTTTTCTAAAGGTTTGAATTCATACTTAATGAAGGAATAGTGCAGCTTTAAAAAAAATTGTGCTTGCGTGGAGTTAGTAGGCAGGATTTTCCAATACGCAATGGCTGATTTTACTTTTGCCTTGATTTCTTAGCAGGGTACAATAAGCGGCAGTGTTGGATCCTGTGGTGTCATTTGCAAAATCCTTTGTGATGCTTTGAATTTGCAGGTGTCACTTATTTAAAAGCTACATTTTCTTCCATGGTCACTTGTTTCCTGTTTAAGTAACATGTTTATTTTTGTGGACTTTGGCTTATGTTCGGTATAGTTGCCAATGAACAAAATGCTCTGTATAGAAATTAAGATAAAGTCATCTTTCTCTAAAGATTGACACTTTTCTTTTCCAATATTATGGACACAATCACTTAGGAAATGCTTTCTATACAGAATAGTTCTTTCTTTTGACTTTCTTCAAGTAGCCATTGCTCCAATCACTTGAGAAAAATTTAAAAATTCAATATTAATTCCTAGCTATTCTTTTTATTTACCATGCTAGTTGCACATCAAATTATTTGTATCCAGTAAAGTACACCCTTCAATTTGTGTACTACAAAAAATTACACCATTTCCTCATAAAATGATCTGTGATATTCCATGTGTTTGCAAATCTGTTAACATATGGAAGTGAAATTTATCACTGGTTCCTGAAATCATCTTTTTAGCATTGCAGCTTGGTACATGCTGATGGCCAAATCACCAGGATATCAAATAAAGATTGTTGATTTGTTTCATGACCCCTCACCCCCTAAAAATGTGAATTTTCTTGTAGCAATTTTATGAGCATATTTGCTAATGCCCTTTTAAAAGATGTCCCGCAGTGTCTTAAAACTAGTTTCTCCCCCGAAGAATCAGCAATCTAAGTCTTTGTTCTAAGAGTTAACACAATTTTCTGTAGATCACAGGGTATAGTTTTCATATTTTCTTGATACTCAAAGTGTCTGGTGGGGAGAAATTGGCATAATTTGGAAAATTGCAATCTGTCTTTGAGGGAATCTGTAGAAGATAGTTACGAAGTTTTCTATCTCTGAGAGAGTTAGGAATTGTTATAGAAGGCTACAAGACAAGAAGGTTCTTCTTAACAGAAGATAGAAGCCTTATTTATGCATTCAGTGAAATCTCCAACAACTTCATTTGTGTAAGGAAGGTTTTTATAAGTTTAACTCTGATACAGTCTCCCAGATAATCTGTATATAATAATGAAATATACCTGATTCAGCAAACAGGGGTTTCTGTTCCTAATATTCAGTGTTCATAATAATCAATGCATGTCTTACATTAGATATAGAGTTGGTTGGTTTTCTCTTGGAAGGTAATTTGTACAAGATGACATTTCTCTATCTAGTACCAGAAAATGTTGATGATTAGGAGCCTTCATATCTGATGCCACATGATAAGATAAAGCTGCTAAAATTTATTAAATAAAAATTTTCAAATTGCTTTCTGTTGTTTTTCTTCTGCTAATACTACTTTGGTAGGTCCAAAAGCAAAACATGCTTTCAATGACAGCACAAGATACACGTAACATGTGGGAGGAGGAACTTCAATCAAGATCCAGACTTGGAGTTCGACTATCTCAGGAAAAGGCTGAGATATTGGAGCAGGTAAGCCAAGAAAAAATGGAAACAGTTGTCAATTTTAAGTTCAGTTTACTTTTCAAGTAGTTATTAGTATGTTTTGTCAAATTTCTAGGTATCATTTGAAATTCATGCTCAAGATAACTTATGATTGGGAAAGCCACCCCAAAGCTTTGAGGTCACCTCTCAATGTGAAAGGGGATGTGCTTCTCGCAGGGAGTTGTATACATGATATGGTAGACAGTAAGAGTCATAGATCCAAGTCCTATTTCACTTTAGATCGATAGATGTTACCATACTGTCACTACAAACACTTATAATTCTACAGGTATCAAAGGGAAAGACATGCATGCCCCTGAAGGGCTACAACAACGGTAGAAGGTTTATAAAAATGTTCTGGCTTGAAACAAATCTCAGACTCCCTGTTTCCCAGAGTGATCTGCTCTCCTTCATTCCCTCTCCTCAAAGTGTAAGGGAGGGAGAGTGGCTGCTTGCACAGTGGGGTGGTATAAGGGGGGCACATGGGGCACTGGTGCTACATAGGGCCCCCCACATAATGTGGGCCAGGGGGCATGTGTTCCCCAGATACTCAGAAGTTGGACGTCCCTCCCTATGTTAAGATGATATGTTTGAAAGAAGAGAGCTTAAAGTATTGCCAGTCACATGATTATTCCTTCTCTGATTTTCCTGAGGTCATTAGTTAACTGAATCCCATGATGCAAGGGATTTAAGCATAAAATGACAACTTTTTTACATGTTTCCTAAAACAGGGAACTATGAAGATCCTTCTTCTCCTGGAACCCCCACTCCACACTGGGATTTGGGACAGATGATTCGGAATTTTTTATAGCTTGTCAGTTAATATTACTTTTAGATAACTTAGTGAAACTTTTGATTAGGGTCTATGATAAGTATGCCACTGCAGTGTCAAAATCCCAACATGTTAATGGGTCCTACCTCAAGGAACAAAAAGAAGAATGCATGCTTGTTTCAGTCCAGACAAAAGGAGTGCCAACCGAAGTACATTTTTAGATATGAACATACCAGTTTGCTTTCTGCCTCTAGAAGTAATGGAGATCCTGTTGGAAATGCACTGGCGGTCTTTGTATGTATGTGGAGATCCCCAGTCACAGTGTGGGCACCAAGACTTCATTACTTAATGAACAGTGAATTCATAGCCTTAATATTAAGAATAATTAATAACCTTAACCTTAGCAACATTGAATATTACCTGTCTCTCTCTCCTGCCTGTGAATGTGTATTTAACATAGCTTAATGCAAAACATCACCGTTTTAAATTGCATTCCAATTTGTTTGTCAGGAATGTAAGATTCTGCTTCCTTTATATCCACAAATGGCAAATGTAAACTGTCGTTACATGATATATGTAGGAATATGTATGTATTTTTCTTTTTGGAAGCTTGAAAGTGAAAAGAAAAAAGCGAAGAAGCTATTAGAGACAAAACGATCGGTGGAAGCCCGACTGGATCAAGAGATGAAAAGAAATGGTGAACTGCAAAAAGAGTGTTATGGGTAGGGATCTTTGATCACTTTTAAAAGTTTTAAGAATGACCTAAAATTTGGTCCAATTAGCTTAATTTTAACTTTAAAAATTTGTATATTACTATGTACATGCTGTTCATGCTCAACCGTTAAATCGTAACAATCACTTACATAATAGCATATCTTTATAGTGTATTTATTCGTATACCACATGCATAACATGCCTGAAAATTAGTCCTCAAAAATCAGGTACATGTCTTATGCACGGAAATTGATTTCTGTACAGGAATGGAAGCATGGGGATATTGTAATGGCTACTGGGAGCTGGCTCTGCTGGGCTCTTGGCCACATAGAAGGTTGACTTTTCAGTGTCACCACCCTTTCGCAGCAGGTCCACAGGTAGAGGTTTTACCCTCTCTCAGCCTCCAAGCAGCCAAAAGCTGCTGGCAGTTTGGCACTGACTGGAAGGGTTGAATGTCTAGCTGTAGACCTGTAGCAAGAAGGTAAATAACTCTGAGGAATGGCCTCTGTCCCTCCTCTGTGTGGCCAGCATGTGTGGTGAGCCCAGGCTGTGGAAGGTAGGATTCCGGAAAAATCTTTTTTTCTTCATTCTGCCTTCCCAAAATAACATGAGAGACTTATTTGAGGATGTGTGGCATGCGAATAAATGTTCACTTATGCAGCTGAGTAACCCAATTATGGAATAGTGCAAAAAACATTGGACTGATCTGTTGTGCTGTGCAGTTTTTTCTGATGGGGAAAGACAGGGCACCTTACTCCCTATGCCTGCACATATAGACATCCAATATTGTTTAATGTCTTTATTAATGATCTGGATGATGAGATTGGGTGCATGCTTAGCAAATTTATGGATGACACCAAGTTGGATGGAGTTGCAGGCAGTCTGGAGGGTAGGGTTGTGATCCAGAATGAGTTGGATAAAATGGAGAAATAGTCTGCACTCAATCAAATGAAATTCAACAGGGACAAGTACAGAGTCCTGCATTTGGGACTCAATAATTGCATGCACAGATGCAGACTGGAAAATGGTTAGTTAGGTTGGAGTACTGCAGAGAAGGACCTGGAAGTTACAGCAGACTATAAGATGAAAAGGAACCAACACTGTTCTTGTTGCAAAAAGGCCAACACTGTACTGGATTGTATTAACAGTAGTGTCTCTTGCAAATCAAAGAAAGTGATTCTTCCTCTCTGTTCAGTCCTGGTGAGGCCTCACGTGGAGTATTGTGTGTAGCTTTGGGCCCTACATTTCAAGAAGAACGTGGCTAGATTAAAAAGAATCCATCAGAGAGCAACAAAATTAATAGCAATCTGGGATGCACACTGTTGAGGAAAGGGTGAAAGAACCAGGGTTATCTTGTTTGGAGAAGAGAAAATTGAGGGGGGATTTGACAATAGTCTTAAAATACCTAATGGGCAGTTATGGAGAAGATGGGTTTTATTTGTCTTTCCATTGTATTTGCTATGCAGAGTCAAGAAACTTCTAAAAACAGCGAAGAAGAAATTAAAAGAATATGAGAGTAGAGAAAGTGAGTTGCAGTTTAGTTTCCAAGGAGAACTGAAGAACAAATATTCTGAAATGGATGGTGAAGTTAGTAGATTAAAAACAAAGGTAGGTTCTGTTGCTTGAAACTTGACACTCTGTGGATGTCCCTTTTAGAATTCTGGCTATATTTAAGTGTGTTTTTGTTCTTATAGATGGTAGATTTGCACTCTCTGCTTGACTTCAGACTAACACAGCTAACTATCTCTTTGTTCATATAGCTAGTGACTTTTAAGAAAAATTATATAATGATGCTTTTAAAGTAGTTGATTTATCCCTCTGCTGAGTCGCTAATACATTGTGAGCATAAGTTTCTTTTGAGGAAGAGGCATGACAAAAAGGCACATAATACTGCATTCTCCCCATATATTACCTCTGCAACTCTAGTAGAAGATTAATAAGGAATCTAGACTTATGTAAGTACAGCTTTCAGCTTCAAAGAAGAATTATGGGTAAAAAAAATCGTTTTTTTTTTAACATGGACAGTTGTATCTCCACTGAATGCTAAATGACTAATTTATCTACAACAGGATTAATAATAATGCATTGGTAAATTAATTACTGTATAAACTTGGCTATATTCAAAAACCATATTTTTTAGTTTTGTTTCATCACATATTAGTGTTCCAGTACAATTCACCTGTTAGGAATTCCACAATCAACCCTTGTGTTAGCAGACAAGGTGGTCCATTGGATGTGGAATTTACTATATTTTCTAATATACAGCAAACCCCAAATAAGTTACACCCCTTATTTTTAAAAGGCAGAATGAAGGAAAAAAGATCTTTCCTTGAAAATACTCGTAAGTACAGTATTTTTCCAGGGAAGAGGCAGCTGCAGCAGGATAGGAGCAAAACGTGTGGCTGCTACTGTACTGTAGCTGAAGGATGAAAAAGGTGCTACTGGCTAAGCCAGACTGCCGAGCCCCTCTTCTCTTCTTAAGCTGAACACGTGTCAGGTTAGCTGAGCACCAGATCCTAGGCAGCAGCAGTTCTAGAGTCATCTGAGGACCCACCTAGTTGATTCAGCAGGAGTTTCTGCCCCATCACCTAGGGCTCAGCTCCAAAGCTGGGACAGAGGTTTTTGCTGTGTTGGTTGCAGCTTCTCCAGCACAAGCCTCTCCAGGGGAAAAGACAAAGTGCTCATAGCTAGGGAATCCTACATGCTCAGTGTTCTGCCTCCTGTGCAATAGGTACAGTATTACTTTCTCTTTCCCTTGGCAAATGCTCCTGGTATAGTAGCTGTTATTACTATATTTCCTCACTTAAAACATACATGCCAAATTTCCAGCAACTGATTTGATGCATGTTATATGCAAGAAAATACAGTGGCTGATACGTGTTTTGGTCCACATCTGTCTTGCTAAATATCTGAAAGCATTTCCTACGAGTTTCATAGTTTCATAGATGTGAGGGGCTAGAAGGGACCTTACAAAATCATTGGGTCCAGCCCACCTGCACTTGGGCAGGAAAGACTGCTGGGGTGTATTTTATCACCACCATTTACCTAGCATTTGGAAATGCTGCTTTTGTTTCCTAGCTAGAACCTTCTCTACTAACATTCCTCCCTGTGTTAATGAATGTAACTCTGTTGCTAATGTGCTGTGTTTTTGATTTATGTAAGTAAATTATTTTATCATATATTATTGTACAATGCATTAAGTGCCTTCACATCAGTGTATTTTTATAAATTAAAAAATATTATTTGTATGGCTTCTTTACAGTGGTAATACTTATATTTGAGTGGAAAGGTGGGGAATTCATACATAGATTACTTTCTTTGCAATGATTTTGTGAAGATGAATACAGTTCTGGAATTAGACATTTGAGACTGTCTATGAATATTTTCAATCGTCTACATACTCATCTGATTTCTTGGCCTTTTTAAAAATTTAAATGAGTATAACAAGAAGTATATGAATTAGTGACAGAGAATAGAAACCTTTTTTCAGTCACCTTTAATCTAGTTTCAGAATGAAAAATCTGACCTTTTCTTCTAAATTATTATAAGAAAAATATCTTAGATTTTTTTTTCCTTCTCTATTAAAGTGTCAGTGGGAGAATCTACATGAGGTGCTTACTGTGGAGTTGCCTGATTAGTTCCTCAGTAAAGCAACTCTGTCTACAACGTGCCGAGCTATTATGCTGGAGTAAACTAATTAACTCTGCCATAGGTTAGTAGTGCCCAATACAAGTACTATCCTATGGTGGTGTTACTTACGCCATTGCAATGCATGTGTAGACGCTGACTGGGGCACAAGTGTGCTACAGTGCAGAGCTGCCTGATGGCTAGCCCTGCATTGTAGCAGCATCGTGCCCCAGCCAACACCTCTGCAGCACATTGAGCCTGGCTGAAGCAGCCCCAGGCTGGCAGGCTGACCCCTGGGGCTCCCTGCCAGCCAGGGCTGTCCTGCCCTGGCTCAATATGCTGCAGTCCCAGGTGCACGTGTAAACACTGCACCCAGGAGCAATAAACTCCAGCGCAAACTTCACAGTGTTTATTGCATCGTGCTGATTTCACATGTAGATGCATCTTGTGAAGATTTGATATTCTAACTATCCTATTTAACAGTTTTTAAATTGATGTATGCATTTTGATATTTAACATATAAGGCCCTAACTATAGTTATGTACTTGCTTACCTTTGAGCATTTGAGTAGACCCAGTAAATAATGAGACCAGTGTATTCAAAGCCCAAGTATGTGAGTAAACTGCCTTTGATTTGGGAGCTAAGGTTTTTGGGTTTTGTTTTTTTGCAGAGGTGGTTCTAAAGTATTTATGTGAACTACTGCATAGGGTGGGAGACAAAGGAAGTGGTCTTAAGCACCCTCTGAGAAACTGTTTAACAGATGTACTTTTAAAAATGTTTAGAATAGTTTTTGTTCATTTAACATACTCTGGATTGTAAAATATTTTGACTGATATTTTTCACAAACTCACAGAGTAGAAGATTTTGAGCTCTGTTTGATAACTAAGTTCAGTTTTTCTCAATGTATGCAGGTAGATGAACTATCCCAGCAGCTGAAAACAGAGTCAAAAAAAGCTACGCAGTTAGAATCTGCAAATCATGATTTGCGAGAACAGTTGTCTTCTATGAAGATACTACATAAGAATCATGAAAAGCTGGAAAAGAATAAATGGCAGTTGGAAGAAGAAGTTGCTAACCTCAAACGCCATGTAGAAACGAATATGATGGACCACAGTCAAATAGAACACTATAAAAGAGAGATTGAAGAACGAGCCAGACAAGAAATAAGACAAAAATTAGAAGAAGTCAATTTATTTTTGCAGGTTAATATATTTACTACTTGATGCTTTGTACAAGCTTTATATTTATTTTACATTTATTTAATAGTGGAAAATGTTATTTTTGAGATGTTTCTAGTATAGTAATTGAGGAACTGGAGACAGAGATGACGAAGAAAAAATGAAAAGAAAATTTGGGCACAATCTTTGATTCCTTTTCTATAGTGCCAGCAGGTCATTCAGTCACAAAGCCCATCCCAAACTGACTTTTTTTTTTTTTTTTTTTACCAGGGAGAGGAGTTCCAGCCTGTCTTCCACATAGAGGAATAGTATCCAAAAACCTTAGCAAATAACCTTTTTGTTCTCTGTATTTATTTTGCAGAGCACAGTAACCTTCTCTTCCCTGTTCTTTAGGCTATCATTCATCAGCTCCTTGAAGGAGAAAGAAATTAGAGGACATTTAAAAGGATAGGGCTTTTTTTGTTCTTTGTAAGTAGACGCAAAATGATACATGTTATGCTCTAAGTGTCATTGGTACTCAAACTTTCCATAGCAGATGATTTTATATGCCTAAACTGTGTCTATTCTAAAGACCAAATGTTGATAAAACACAAGTAACAAAGTAACTTTTTTGGTTTGCAATAATTATTTACTTTCTGAAAATATTATATGCATGAGTTCGTAAAATACTTGTAATTCTTTCACCGGCACTGGGATTGGAGCTGCAGTTAGACTGCCAATTGAGTATCAGATTTGATGTAACAGCAGCCTGTTAATGGAGTTTCTTTCTAAGCTGAAGTCATTCTTTTGTGTAGCGATTTTAGATTTCTCCATTCTTTATTGCTGGCACTAAGGAATAATAGTTCCCTGAGTAAATTGGTGTACTTAAGTTGTGTTTGAGAATCTAACAAGGAGGAAAATTCATCTTTGCTTTTCAATTTATTAAGATAATATGATTTGCTTTAGACACAGGCAGCCTCCCAAGAGACATTAGAACAAATAAGAACTACTAATAATGCTTCTCTGAGAAACCAACTGGAGCACAGAATGAGAGATCTGGAATCTGAACTTGCTAGAATAAAAAACACTCAGCAAGACAGCATTTTTCAAAAGGAGTCCACCCAGACAGAATTGGAAAGGTACAAAGACTTGTATGTGGAGGAATTAAAAATTAGAAAATCTCTGGCAAGTAAATTAGAAAGGTAAGTCAAAGCCTTTACTTTAAACCAAAAGATAAACTGCTAATTTTCCCCATTATTAAATTTATCTCTAAAACCTCTCACAGCTGGACCTATACCACATGATGTGCATAAAGACTGGGCATTTCCATTAATAATGAATAACTTAATATTCTATATGTAGTAGAAATATATTTAATTTTTATAGAGTGTAATGTGTATTTTTTCAATTTTTATCTTTTGGCTGTTATATAGTAATTTCTTCTTTGTTCATGGTAAGAAAGAAATTGTTTCTTGTATTATAGGCCCAAATCCATATTTGAATGTAAAAGTTGACTTCTGAATAAATAAGCTCCCTCTTGTAAGGTAATGATATGCTGTTTATCTCTGAGCACTTCGCAGGATCAGCCTTCTCTGAAAGGATGTATTGTCCAATGGTTAGAGTACTAGCCTGTGACTTGAGACATCCAGGATAAATATTTTTGAACAGCCACATTCTAGTTGAAAAAGAATAGATTGCCTCAGTGATCAGATAATGCAGTTGTGGTGGTGAAATAATTAACAAAAAATGCTTACATGCTTCTTAACTATTTATAGAGCTAATGACAGGCTTGCAGAGGCCAATGCTAAACTCCTCCATGAGCGTCACAAGAGCAAATCTTTAATTGCCAACAGCATTGTAAATGGAAGTTTGACTGCAAGTCCAGTTCTGGATACAGCTCAGCTTGGAAATCTTGGGAACAATTTAGCACTAAATAGAAGTCTTGGTCTTGGAGGAAGCTTTATAAATCCAGCTGGAAATGCATTATCTTCAAAAAACAGAGTGGAAGCTTATCTGGCTAAGGTGAGCAATTCCAAATGTCATTCTTAGCTCTATTTGGGGTACTTCATAACACCATTGTCTTAGTTAATATAATTAAGGGACATTAATTTTAAATGTGAACATTTCCTAATACTATTAATCTAATTCTGTAAATGCTTCAATAACTAATCAAGAAAATAATACACATATATATTATTTGTTTAGGAAGAAAAAATAAATTAGTACTCCTACATACTGTGAGTTATAAGACTGTATTTACAAGTAAGCATTCACACATGCTACAACATATCCAACAATTGACACTTGAAGAAAAAAATTCTAAAGAATATATGTATTAGGAAACTCATAGCACAGGGGCATGTTAAGCATTTCTGTACCAAGATAATTTGTATTAAGGGTTTAGATGAAAAGATTATAAAATTATCCTAAAGCTATCAGCATTAATTTAAAAGAAGAATGCAGAAATTCTGCAGAAGAAGTCCATGGTACCTTCACAGAACTGCTATTGCACATGTGGCTTGACCCATGAATACTAGCTTTTGGGAACCTTGAAAAAAAGAATAATGTGCCATGGAATTTTTAAACTTCAGACTGCATACTACTAAAGAGAGATTTATACTATGCATATTGACTGTTTCTTTTAATAACCCCTTTAAATTGTCTCTTTGGTCTCACTCTTTGGTAGTATCTTACATACATACAAGCTGTTCTATTGCCTGGTTTCCTTTTACTTTAAAATACATATAGCACAGAATTAAAAGATAAAACTATTCTTCATTGAATGGCTTCCTTGATCCACACTCTTTTTAGCAGTGGATCAAGTTATACAGTGGAAGCACCTACACAGGACACTGACTGTGCAGTAGCCCGATACTACTGTACAGTAGCGTTGTGTGGCAAAAACTGTGATGCAATGCCACTGCATAGTAGTATCACAAAAGAGGCATTTGCCAGCACTACTGCTCAGTAACTTAGGTTACTGCATATTTATGTAGTACTTGTTTATACAAGTAATAATAAATACACAGTAACCACTGAACAGTAGCCACAGCCAGTATACCCAGGTCAGTTATGTGTCTTTTTTTAAAGAAACAAAAAAGACAGAAAGGAAAGAAAGTGGAAAGGGAAATAGGGAAAATGAGGATGAAGAGATGTAATCAGGGAAAGAAACAACACAGAAAGCTTAGGGTAGTCATATTTTATAACTTACTAGATTTTGTAGTTTGTATGTGTAAGATACAGGAAAGAGGAATACCAATGATAAGTCTTTTCACAGTTCATAACAGTGTGTACATTTGTGTGAGTGTTTATGCTATGCGCATGTTCTTTTTTGCTGCTCTGCCAGTAATCTGCTTTGAAACATGACTTCCTTTTCCTTCCCCATTGTGCATCTTTACGAGATCTGATGTGATACAAAGTAGCACTGAATATCTTAATCTCATATAACAGATACTAGATTTGACTTCAATCGCTTACTTTTTCTAATCTTTTAATACTTTCTTCATTTAAAAAAATATTTAAAAATTATTAAAACCAATTATTTGTCATGCCATAAAAAAATCCTGGCTGGCTTAAATGAGACCATATAAGAAACTAATAAGTGTCTTATTATTTACCTTTCAGCAGCTCTCACTGTTAAGATCTAAGAATATTGTCTTAGAGTATTTTCTCTAAGATCTAAGAATATTTTTCTAAGAGTATTTTCTCTACCAAAAACACTCCTTATAGTTTCCCACTTTTCAGCTACCAGCCTTTAATCCATTAAGAAAGCAAGTGCCTTCTGCTGCTGTGTAAATGTTCACAGTAGTATAAGGATATGTTCTCATATCTCTTGTGAACGGCGAAATCCATGAATGAAACACTGCATTCATGAATGCAGTTTGTGTTCATAAACGCAGTGCCCCCAGTGGTGGGGGGGGCATGGCTCTGGCGGTGATGGTGGGAGCGTGGTGGCAGGAGCCTGGTGGCAGCAGGAGCCCAGCAGCAGCAGCAAGTGCGGAGCTCCCGAGGAGCTCCTGTAAGTGTATAAAGTGTACTTAAAATGCAGGTTCAGCATTTGCAAATATTTGAAACTGTGAATGCTGAACCTTGAATAGCGAGGGTTTCCAGTATAGGCAATAGGTTTCAAAATTGTCATTAACTTCAATATGATCAGTTATAAATCAATTTAATGTGCAGATCAACTGTATATTTCATTAAAATATTCTTAAAACCTTCTAAAGTAGATTTAATATTACTTTAGGTTATTTCATTTCACTCAATTTATGGCTTAAAGTGGATTAACTATATATCAACTTCAGTTAAAATACCTAACATTAAACAGTATGTACCATTTGCTAATAAGGTTTCTGTAGTGGACCAGCACAATAAATCATTTCCTAGGGAAAGGTTCTTGAATTGAGTGGTCAGATTCCCCTAGGCCACTGCTGTCCAACTTCTAAGTCCCCAGGGGCTACACAATTGGGAGCCGCATGCTGTATGGGCCACGCTGAGTGAGCCACAGGCCATACACCACACAGACAACTTCCCCCCTCCACCTTCACTGCTGCATCAGGTGCCCTCCCCTGCCCCACTGCACCACATGGGTGCGATTTCCCCAGTCCCACAAAGCCCTGGATTCACCTCCAGCTTCTCATTGTTTGGTGGGCTGTGTGTGTTTGGCGTGTGCATGCACTGAGAAGCTGGGAGTATTGCTGGCTGAGTGATTGCTAATTGCTGCCTGGGCTTGACAGAAGCCCTAATGAGGGGGCGGAGCCAGTCCAGGCCCAGCAGGGTATAAAAGGAGACTCTCTGAGAGCAACTAGGGAGCCAGCAAACAGGGGCTGCAAACAGGGTAAACGGTCTGCAGGCAGTTAGAGCCTTTCAGCTTGGTGTGAAAAAGCAGGAAAAATGGGACCTTTTGGGGCCAGTGAGCAGTAAACAGGCCAGCTTCCAGGCAAGTATGCTAGGGAAGGTGTGCTTGGAAGAAGGGCAGTAAGAGAGAGAAGGCAGACTAAGAGACCCAGGGAAATGACTGGAGGACATTGCAATGCCAGAGCCTTTATAAGCTGCACGGTGTACTCTTCACAAATTTACAAAGCATTGTTTGGATTTTGAGAGGAGGTTTTTTTAATTTTATATTTCAAGGTTACTTGTTTTCAAGCTAGGGAGGCCAAATTCTTCCTAAATAGACTCCCTCTTCTCTGTTATTTTTTTTCTGGAGCAACGTCGTATTTTGGGGGGGAGGAGGGGGGTTGGCAGGGGGTTGTTGTTTATTTCACATGTATAAAGTGCCCCCTGAGCAATTTTCTCTTATCACCTGTGGCAACAGGTTGGAACGTGTTACTTTCTCTTGAAAATTAGTTTTAAGAAATACTGTTTCACTTTCTCCATCATCCTCTCATTTCTATGTCCCCCATCTCCTTTCCAGTTCAGAGTCAGGCTGTAAAGATTTTTCCAGAAGAAATAATTTTAATCCATTCTCTCTGGATTTTGCCACTCTTCTCATAAGAGATTCACAAACCCTACATTTCTAGT